TAGACATGGAGCCATTGATCACTACCCGTTGAGCCCAACCATCTAGCCAGATTTCTGTCCACCTTATAGTCCATTTATCTAGCCCATACTTTTTTAACTTGCTGGCAAGAATACTGTGGGAGACCGTGTTAAAAGCTTTGCTAAAGTCAAGGAATAACATGTCCACTGCTTTCCCCTCATCCACAGAGCCAGTTATCTCGTCATAGAAGGCAATTAGATTAGTCAGGCATGACTTTCCCTTGGTGAATCCATGCTGACTGTTCCTGATCACTTTCCTCTCCTCTAAGTGCTTCAGAATTAATTCCTTGAGGACTTGCTCCATGATTTTTCCAAGGACTGAGGTGAGGCTGACTGGCCTGTAGTTCCCCAGATCTTCCTCCTTCCCTTTTTTAAAGATGGGCACTACATTAGCCTTTTTCCAGTCGTCCGGGACCTCCCCTGATTGCCATGAGTTTTCAAAGATAATGGCCAATGGCTCTGCAGTCACATCCACCAACTCCTTTAGCACTCTCGGATGCAGCGCATCCAGCCACATGGACTTGTGCTCGTCCAGGTTTTCAAAACAGTCCCGAACCACTTCTTTCTCCACAGAGGGCTGATCACCTCCTCCTCATGCTGTGCTGCCCAGTGCAGTAGTCTGGGAGCTGACCTTGTTTGTGAAGACAGAGGCAAAAAAAGCATTGAGTACATTAGCTTTTCCCACATCCTCTGTCACTAGGTTGCCTCTCTCATTCAGTAAGGGGCCCACACTTTCCTTGACTTTCTTCTTGTTGCTAACATACTGGAAGAAACCCTTTTTGTTACTCTTAACATCTCTGGCTAGCTGCAACTCCAGGTATGATTTGGCCTTCCTGATTTCATTCCTGCATGCCTGAGCAATATTTTTATACTCTTCCCTGGTCATTTGTCCAATCTTCCACTTCTTGTAAGCTTCTTTTTTGAGTTTAAGATCAGCAAGGATTTTACTGTTAAGCCAAGCTGATCACCTGCCATATTTACTATTCTTTCTACACATCGGGATGGTTTGTCCCTGTAACCTCAATAAGGATTCTTTAAAATACAGCCAGCTCTCCTGGACTCCTTTCCCCCTCATGTTATTCTCCCAGGGGATCCTGCCTATCAGTTCCTGAGGGAGTCAAAGTCTGCTTTTCTGAAATTCAGGGTCCATATTCTGAAGGAACACCTCTGAAAACGCAGCACTCGGTATTTTGTGTAAATAGCTGTGGAGGTGTTTTAAAGCACAATAGCAATAATAAATGTACTGGTTGGGACATGTGTTGCCCATTTGAGGGTAAAAACGTGTTGATTGGCTTCTTTGTGTGTGTCGGCTGTCTCTGTGGAAAAGAGCAGGTGACTGTAAACATGGATTTTGTGTGTGTGTAGCTAAAGTTAGTTTAGAGACCGTTTCCGTGTTGAGCTTGTTGGAAAGCCAACTGTGAATAAAGCTGCCCTGCTTTAATCTTTTATGTACTGCACTTAAGTTTTATATGATGGGTCCTCTCTCTCCCTATGCTTGTGTGATGTATACTTTTCCAGTAGAAGTGCACTACACTGTCATGTATCTGTATTTGGAGAAGAGTCATCAACATTATATTCTCAAACCTCTCATTAATTGGGCATCTTGTTGTTTTTGTGAATTTATTTAATGAACTGTCTTATTTTTCTGCCTCCCAGGTATGCCTAATGTTAGCACCAAAAAAGATAAAATTTGAAAGACTATCAAGTATTATTGGTAATTATTATCACCAGGGATCTTGCCTTGGAACAGAAGAAGCTTAAGGTCCTTTACACTAAAAACTTCAGTCAGTACAAATTACTTTGGTGTACAGCTGCTGAAGTCCGTGTATCACTCAGGCATCTGTGCACGATGCTTGCGTCAGCACTGCACCTACTCATCAGGAGTGCTTCTACTGATGCAAGGTACGGTACACCATGAATAGGTATCCCTATGTGCCATGCGCCACTGTCCAGTGATACCTTTGGGGAAATTTTCACAGTGTGTTGTGGGGTTGAAATGGCTGGTGGGATTGCATCCTAATGTCGTTTTTGAGATGATGAGCAGTGTCTGCAGAACTTTCAAATGTGAAAGGTCTCGTTCCTGGATCTGTGTGCCAAGCTCGCCCCAGCCCTTCAATGCATGAGACTAGAATGACAGCGGAAAAGCGTGTTGTGATTGCACTCTAAAATCTTGCAAAGCCATATTGCTACTGGTCTGCGGGAAGTCATTTTGGAGTTGGAAAATCCACAGTGGGAGCCATTGCCAGGCAAGTGTGTAGGGCTATTAATTATCTCTGCCAATGGAGGGCTGAGACTCTCGACAATATACCAGATACTCTGGATGGATTTGCATCATGGTCTCTGTTTTGGCACCAGCCCACCTCGCCATAGAGTATATCAACAGAAAGGGCTATTATTCTTTGATTATGCAAGTGCTGGTGGACCACTGGGGATGCTTCACCAGTATCGATGAGGGCTGGTCAGGGAAGATGCATGAAACTCACATCTTTAAGAAGGCAGGAATGTTCAGAAAGCTGTGGGTACAGACATTCTTTCCTGACTGGAAATGCCAATTGTGATTCTGCGGGACCCCGCCTACCCCTTGGTCCCCTGGCTTGTGAAGCTGTAAACTGGCCACCTTGATAGCACCAAGGAAAGATCCAACTACTGGGTCAACAGGTGCAAAATGAATGTGCTTTTGATAGATTGAATGGACACTGGTGATGGTGTTCACTCACTAGATGGGATCTCAGTGATTATTCTCAGTGATATCACAGTGATTATTGCTGCTTGTTGTGTTTTGCATAATATCTGTGAGGCAAAGGGGGAAAAGCTGCCTCCAGGTTGGAGGACAGAGGTGGAGCGGCATTTAAAGTCAGAGTAAGTGGTTGCAGGAGGCTTTGAAAGAACACTTTAACGGTGAGCCACAATAGTGTTCTGTAGGCCGGGAGCTTTGGGTGTTGCTCAGAATTGAGTAGTGTTTGCTGTATGCTTATAAATGCAGGTGTTGTCCTGAAGCCATTAACTATGTGGGGCGTGCCGTATGTACATTTAAAAGTACTGTTTGCTTTAAGTACCGCTATGCATTCTGCAGTATGTGTTGAGAAGTAATAAAGATGATTTTATTCTCCAAAAATAGAACTTCATTGAGTGGGAAAAGCAGGGCAGAAAAACAATAGGCAAAAAACCACAGGCAATGCAATATAAATTAACAGCATGGAACTTTAAAACTGGAAAGTCAGTAAATGTTTCTGTCCATTTCAGTGCACACACGTAGTTTGTTATGGCTACACGTACATCAGCCATGGTTCTCACAGGTTAATATATGTGAAACTGTGGTTCTCCTTGCTGTTCCTAGCATAGAGTGATGGGGTAATTATGTGCCCAGTGATGTCACATGGTATGTTGGAGGGTGTTGGTAGGTAGCAGTGACCATGGAGTTCTTCAAGGGCTGCACAGGGTGGAAGTCTGGGATTTTTGGACCTGTAGGTCAACCTGCATTTGGGTTTGCAGCCTGAGGGGACCTGAAGGTGGCAAAGTAGGAAAATGTCTTTAGTGAGGGGCATGGTAATATCAGGAAGTGGAGTGAAACAGGACACTTGCTTATAATAGAGCAGTTTGTATTCTGTGGGATTAATGTTTTTGAAGTGATCAACATTTATTATTGAATATTCCCTTTTGTCATTTGATATGGAGTTATTGTACCTTTAACTGATAAATCTTTAGCTGATAAAACTTTGTAAATCTTGAAGTGAGCCAAGAGTTTTAATGATCTTCTTGTATGTATAATGGAATTGCAGTGTTTAGATTTCAGATTGGATAGCTTTGCCATGGGGATGACTGAAGAGAACATCAGCTTTCCTCTCCTTTATTATTATAACTTGGTGCAAGCTAACATGGCATTAAGCAGCCAGGAAATGCTAAAGTTAAGGTTGAAAATGCTGCTGTAATTCTGCCCCCTTACATATCTGCATTAAGGCAATCTTATATCATGTGAATCACACTTCTTTCTTGCAATATAATAACCTTTCTACAATCTTGCCTCTCAAAGCCCGTGTAAGTATGACTTTAAAGAGTGTTTACCTTGTGCATTTAACAGCATTTTTTGTAGTCAGGTTCACTTTTTCCCATGTTGTTTGTGTGGATAAACATTCCTCCATTAGATTGCTAATGGCAGAAAAAACACAAATACACATTAAGAAAAATAATTTAACGTTTTACTCAGCAGAGGTGGGGAGAAAACCCTTTTAAAACATTAGGAAAATGTGATTGTAAAACCACAAAAAAAAAATGGTAGAGGGACTCCAGAACAGGTGTAATGCTGGTGCCTGAAAGTGCTTTTAATTAACTTTTTTGAAATAAACTAGATTTCAAGTGGTCTGTGCTCCTTTAAGGGCTTTATATGGACCCAGTTATTCATAACAGAACCTTAGCTGTAATTCAGGTGGAAGGCTTTTCCTAAAACGTCAAGGTATTTTATCAGTTCAGAAGACAATGCCAACTGTTTAGAAACTTTTAGAATGTATACTACTATATTACCTACTGTGCATTAGTTGCTCATTTTGAAGTTGGTCTGTTAAACAATATTTAATACACCCTAAAATAATGAAGAAATGCTTTTATAAAAATAAACTACTCCACATGCATACTAGTCAAAGCTTAGTTGTCATTTTAAGTTAACAAGGTAATAAAATGAACTCTTTAAAAAAAGAAAAAAAAAAAAACATGTAGTACTAAAGCTGCAACATTGGATCCCTTTTAATTTCTTTGAGACAGCTAAACCAACTGAAGAAACTGTGGAGTATCCAGGCTATTTATACTGGCTTCCCAGCTTCTTCCTCCTGACTTATCTTTTTGTGGAGGGACTAGCCCTACCGTCTAGACTTAAACTAGAACTCTGAATTACAAATAAAACCAAAATTGTAGACACACCAAAAGTGACTAGCACACTGAAGTCTATTCATTTAACTAAGCTGAAGCTTTTAAAACTATATATTTTTAAGAAACCACACAGATAGAAGATCCCCGAAAACAATGGAGGCAAGAACAAGAGCGAATGCTAAAAGACTATCTCATGGTAGCGCAGGATGCGCTCAGTACCCAGAAGGAGTTGTACCAGGTGAAAGAACAGAGATTGGCACTTGCCCTGGATGAGTATGTACGTCTGAATGATGCCTACAAAGAAAAATCAAGCTCTCGTACAAGCTGTAAGTACATTAGAAATGTGTACGCTGTAAGTCCTTTGATCGTGTTCTGTAATGGCTCTTGTTCTGCAATTCAAGATTAGTCCTCAGTGTTTTGGGCCCCTGGCTGTTTTTCTGACAGCCTTTCCACTTTTTGCTCCTCAAGGCAACTGTGTTCTGCTGCAGAAAGCTCTGGTCTGTCCAATGCAGTTGAACTCCTACAGAAATTTGGGCCAGGCATTTGGCTCTGGAATCTGTTCCTTCACATGGTTTGCTGGAATCTAGATTAGGTGGGTTGGTGTTCTAAGGATACAGGATCACTTGTTCCTTTTTGGCATGCAGCCACCAGGTACTCAGTATGTAAACAGGTGGCAATGATAGATGGAGCAGTAGATTTCACTGCTTGCTGTTGGTAACAGTTTATTTTAATTTTTGCAAAAAATGTGCCGATATAAGGCATGGGGCTCAATAAAAATAAGTGAGATCAATTTGGTTTAAATCCTCAGAACAAAGGAGGGAAGCTGGTGGCCAGTATAGTGTTTTTGAGAGATCTGTGTTTGGGTTGGTTGACCAAATATCTTACTCTAGGGTGGGTAGTGTTTAAAAAGCAGCAAACTCAACTCCTGAAGAGAAGAGTAGGGGGTCTCAGGCTGTAGGGTTGCCAGGCATCCAGTTTTCGACCGGAATGTTAGAAGTTTGGGGGGGAGGGATAGCTCAATGGTTTGAGCATTGGCCTGCTAAACCCAGGGTTGTGAGTTCGATCCTTGAGGGGGCCATTTAGGGAACTGGGGCAAAAATTGGGGATTGGTCCTGCTTTGAGCAGGAGGTTGGACTAGATGACCTCCTGAGGTCCCTTCCAACCCTGATATTCTATGATTCTATGATTCTAAGTCTGGTTGGCCACCCACAGCAGGCTCTGTGCGGCTCCCAGGAAGCTGCCGGCATCTCCCTCTGGCTCCTAAGTGTAGGGGCAGCCAGGGAGGAACCACGGCCAATGGGAACTGCAGTGGCGATGCCTGTATGCAGGGGCAGCATGCGGAGCTGCCTGGCCATGCCCCTGCCTAGGAGCAAGAGGGAGATACCTGCAGCTTCCTGGGAGCTGCCTGAGGTAAATGCCACCCAGAACCTGAACCCCCTCTGGTGCCCCAACCCCCTGCCCCAGCCCTGAGCCCCCCCTGCACCCTAAATCCCTCATCCCACACCCCCAGCCCAGAGCCCCTTCCTGCACCCTTAACCCCTCATTTCTGGCCCCCACTGAGGGGGGCCAAAACGCCCAGCCCAAAGCCCATACCCCCTCCCACACCCTGGCCCCATCCTGGAGCCTCCTCCCACACTCCAACCCCCTCAGCCCCAGCCAGGAGCCCCCTCCTGCACCCCAGAGCCTGCACCCCCACCCCCATCATCCCAACCCTGTGCCCCAGCCCGGGGAAAATGAGTGAGTGAGTGAGGGTGGGGGAGAGCGAAGAACAGAGGGAGTGGGAATGGAGTGAGTGGGGGGTGGGGCCTTGGGGAAGGGTGGGGCAAGGGTATTCAGTTTTCTGCAAATAGAAAATGGGCAACCCTAGTCTCAGCCAGCTGAATAAACCCACCTTCCAGAAAACCTATTTGTTGTGAGAGCTCCTTGAGCTCTGAAGATTCCCTCCCCAACAAAGTGTGCTGCCCAGCTAGAAGATTGGTGGCCAGGTGTTGAAAGCAGGGGGAAATGAGGACTTGCCTTGGGTTCCATCCTAGAGGAAGAGTTTCTCCTCCCTTAAATTTTTGAACTCACCCAAATGATGTTAGCAAAAGTAGACGAAAATGTGTTGAGAATTCATTAATTATTGTCACACAGAGATGCTGACTGTACTGTAATAAGAGGTACACCTTAAAAATGAATATCCATTTTATTTGCACTATTACGTTAACCTCACAGTTTTGGCGCTAAATGAACTCTTCAAGATTTAATGGTTGAAAGTAGTTAAATTTTTTTTTTTTTAAATAAGTATTCTCAGGCTCCTCATCCAGCACAAAATATGACCCTGACATTCTGAAGGCGGAAATCTCCACTACAAGATTAAGGGTAAGAATACTTAATTTAGTTCTACTGGAATTCTGCGCATAAGGTTCGTGACTGCAGTGTGCTGAGCTTGGGCTAGCAGAGATTCAGATTGAGGTCTTTTGCACCCAGATATTGAAACCACCCAGCATTCTGGCTAAATGCTACTCAAGCATTTAATTAAACTGTTAGCCAAATCATCCTAAAAATCAATCCAATTAATTTTTAAAGGGAACACACTTAACTTTGAGAAATATATTCGTTGGTTTAAATATGCCTCATAATTTATTTCACCTAGAAAATAATTCAGTAATTGATTGATTCCTTTTTAAAGGCGAAAGCTGGGAAAGGAGAGGGAAAAATCCTTTAAAAGTGCCTAGTATGTGGAGCAACACCCAGTGCTTAATTTAAAATGAGATCCTTTTATTTCTAAAATCAACTTTGGGGCTCTCACAGCAGAATTGGTTTTAAAGTTGTAATGACCAGGATAATTTGGGACTTGTTTTAATCTGCAGATACAAAGTAGTGAACATAAGTGTGCTTCTGTACACAACTACTAAAAGATTTCTGCATATTATAGGCATTGGATTTGGTTATCTTTTTAATAATATGAAAAATAAATAGTTTGATTTATATTTTACACTCTCATGAATTAACCTTAAATAAGGGGGGAAATGGTATAGAATAAATTTAAAATCTAAGTAGGAGGAGGGAGTTCCGTTATGTGAACTGTGGCAAACACTGCATTTTGGACAATTTGCGTTGTCCATTTGGTACTGAATTTTTTGTCTTGTCAAAACTTGGTGCTTGAATCGGTGCTAAGGATACATAGTTCTGTATGCATAGAATTTACACAAGGGGTGCCAGTTATAGAGCTTTCAGTGTCCCCTGCTGGACAATTCCCAGCATTTACAGCAGCCCCAAAGTTATGTCTCCTCTTTATATGTAGTCAAAATCACAATTTAGTGTTATCAACAGCCAATATTTGGAAAAATTATGACATCACGTTTAACTTATTTTTTCACATTAACATTTAACACACACACCATACTGCAGTAAATTTGCTTCCCAGATCATGCGCACCCTTCCCACTCCTCTACCAGGTTCATTATTGCCAGTTACTTAATTTTTAGGGAGTGGCTGGCCAGCAGATTACAGAACATATTTCAGCAGCAAGTTTCAGGAACCCTTGAAGAGGTGGGAGCCCTCTGGGAAGAGGGATTTAAGCCTGTAGGAGAGTCTGACAGGACAACAAGGCCAGGGATGGGAGAAGAACAAGAGCTTCTAAAATAAATATGATGGGGAGGGCAAATGATTGCCTCTACATGTGGATGGCTCCCTTTAGGAATGGCTAAGGCATTTAACCATATTTATTTCCAGAAAACTGGCAGAAAGCTAATGTTTGTACCAATATTTAAAAAGGGTAAACAGGATGACCTGGGTAATTATAGGTCTGTCGGTCTGATGATTCCAAGCAAGATAATGGAGCAGCTGATACGGGACTGGATTAATAGAGAATTAGAGGAGGGTAACATAATTATATGTCAGTCACCATGGGAAAACAGATCTGTCAAACTAATGTGAGATCTTTTTTGATGTGAACACAGGTTTGGTTGATAAAGGTAATAGTGTTGATGTAATGTACTTGGACTTCTGTGAGGTGTTTGACTTGTACTGCATGACATTTTTTGAGTAAAAAAAAAAACTTTGATATAAAATTTACATGGCACACATTAAATGGAGTAAAAGCTGGCTGACTGATAGGTCTCAAAATGTAATTGTAACAAAACCCATAGTTAATCATCAAAATTATATTAAAAGTAACTAGAAATTTTGACACAACCAAGTTTTTACCATTTTCTCCTGGCAAAGAAGCGAACCCCACTACTTTTGTCTACCACCACTTTCCCAGTACCCTTCTTGTGACTTACATCGGTCTAATCTCACATTGTAAATTCCTTGGAGTAAGGGCCTTGTCTGTTTCATTTTCCTTGTAAAGCAGCAACTCTACCTGTGGTACCATATATAAAGAATAGACAATGGTGGTATAGAAAGACTATATCTGCATTAGTTTAGGATGTCTGTGCTACTTACTTCAGAGTAGCAGCCGTGTTAGTCTGTATTCGCAAAAAGAAAAGGAGTACTTGTGGCACCTTAGAGACTAACCAATTTATTTGAGCATAAGCTTTCGTGAGCTACAGCTCACTTCATTGGATGCATCCGAAAGCTTATGCTCAAATAAATTGGTTAGTCTCTAAGGTGCCACAAGTACTCCTTTTCTTTTTGTGCTACTTATGAGTGCTAAAGCCATGATTTATAGAGGTCATTCTAACTTAATGAGTGCCAAAAAACCTTAATATGAAACCATCCTGTATTCTATTTGCCCTGATACAAAGCCCATTGCAATAAATGGAAAGAATTGACTTTCATGAGTTTTGAATCAGACTCTATTTGCTACACTTCACAGAAAAGAAAATTAAGGCTGTTTTGAGGGGCAAAAAATGTAATGTTTTTTTTTTATATTGCTTATGAGTCAACTATATGGTTCATAGTAGATGAAGAAGAGAAATGTTATTGAATACAGTTTTTGAAAGCTTTAAAAGTTACATAAATAACACATAAAATACAAAATAATGTTGTAATTTTAAATATCCTCTATCTCATGACTTTCCAGGGCTGGGAGCAAGTGCTGTGTGTTTCACTGGAAAGGGGAGAAGCTCCATTTTCCAAATGAGACAGCACTGATTTCTAGCCCTTCTGATTTGTATATTGAACCTTAAACTGGTCACTGGTGCAAGACTGAATATTGTATATCCTGGGCTTCTGGCAAATGTAATATTGAAGCTTAAAGTCCATCATGGCAGGGGAAGGTAGGAAATATTTGGCAGGGTTTTCATTTTCAAATAACAATTTTTTAAAAAGTTAAAAGTAGTCCCAAGGCAGATTGGCTAGTGTGCAGAGTGGAAGTAAGGCTGTCAGAGGTGTCATAAGTGCAATTTATCACAAGACTCCACAATTTCATGTGGGTATTACTGCCACAATGACATCTGTAATGTGTTAAGTAATTATTACTTACTTTAAAGGGACACTGTCCCATAGCTGGCCTCCACAGTTAAGTTTAGTTTATTTGGAAAGTTTTGACATGACATTTAAAAACCGTTCCAACAGAGCTTTTTGTTGTCACTGACAGACATTTTTGGATGGCACATCCCAATCTGTCTGTATTTGAAATAGCAACATTAGGGTGAAAAAATAGGAATATTCCTTTAATCCCCATTGGACTGAGGAGATTTTTTTTTTTGTTAGAGTAGGAAAAGTGTTCTCCTCAAATGTTCCTCCTAAATAAATATAGTTGGTGTGTATGCGTTTGTAGCCAAAACAGACCAGCCTTGTGATTGAGAATCTAGAAACTGATTTGTTTAGAAACAAAAGTGAAATTGACTATTCTGTTCTTGTTTCCAGGCTGAGTGAAATGCAAAAAGTAAACAAACAGCCTAAACAGACAAGCCAACATACTAGTTTTATAAAAAGGAACAGTTCGTGAGGAGACTAGGAACACTTTCTCTTCTGACTCTATTGAAATATAACCAGCTGAGAGCTTCTTGGAATGACCAAGTGAAAATATTATAATAGAAAACTTAAAAAAATCTGACTGGCTCTCTAAAATAGTTACCATGCATGCGTAACTGGAGAAAAGTAAATTACATTTTAAAATTCTCTCAGGTTTAGTAACCTAGTGTCAATGCTAATAAGAAATGTGTTTTAATCTGATGTTGTCCCTTTAACACAGAGGTAAATTGCACACAGACATCAAGAGGATAACAGAATGCCTTTTTTTTATATAACTGCTAAAAAGCATCACACACAGCAATTTACCTTTTTTTCTTATCTCATGTAGAGTCTGTATTAATTGTTGGAAACCATGTGTTACACTATTTAAAAAGAGGAATTTTCTAATTCTTGCTTTGATTTCACACAAAAGGTTAAGAAGCTGAAGAGGGAGCTCTTTCATATGAAGCAAGAACTGCTCTATAAAGAACAGGGCTTTGAAACATTGCAACAGTAAGTATAAGAAAATAATTGAAATTAACTTAAATAATTCATTCTACTTGTTAGGCTAAACCGAATACAATTATGATTGCACAGATTTGCAGTGAAAAGACTAGGAATAAGAAAATGGCTGGAAAGAGTCCACCAAAAATAAACTGTTTCCAAAGGGCTAAAGCTTTTTTTATTAGGCTCCAGAGAATCGATAGAAACCACAAACCTGCTTTGGGAGTAAAAAAAAATCAGTAAAACAAGTTCCATCGCATATGTAACTTGCCCATTACACCAGAGAGTGTTGGAAGAGGGTGGGAAGGAGGCTTTGTCGTAAGTCCCGTAAGAAGTGCAGTTAGATCCTGGCTGCCCCTTCAGCTGAAATGGAGAGAGAGGTCTGCTACTATAAGGAGGTATGAACAGTGCACAGCAGAGAAAAGCTCAAAATGAGTTGCAGTTTTGGGAGTTAAGGGAGATCTCGCCTTTTTAAACTGATCACTCTTGAGCCCTGCACCATGAATCTTCTCAGGCTTGATCTACACTACAGAGTTTGGTTGCTGTAAGGCAGCTTACGTTGACCTAATTATGTCAGCGTCTCCACTACAGTGCTGCTTCCACTGAAGTAAGCGGCCCACTGCACCGACATAACTCCACCTCCACGAGAGATATAGTGCTTATGTCGATGTAGTTAGGGCAACACTGTGTCTCTGTAGACATGGGGTTACTTATATCGGCTGTTATATTGGGCACTGGCAGCCTGAGCTGTCAGGGAGTGTAGGCTCACTCCTCCTGTTGCCGCCTCCCAGTGAGGGATTGCAGGGGTCGGAAGCTGGGGGATCTCCAGCTGTGAGGCCCCTGCCGGAGTCTAAACATGAAATTATAGTAGCCAGGAAACAGACAAAAATGGCAATTTTGCTGCTGCTAGGCTTCCTGCTGTGAAATTGCAGCCTGCTCCGGCTCACAGATATGAACCCGGTACCCTGCTGACAGCTCGGGCTGTCGGGTTGGGGTATCCCAGTGGTGAGCCTAACAGCTGGAGACGAGGGAAACCTCTGTGAGCCCCATGCCTACGGCTGAGGATGTCAGCCAGAGGGTTTCAGGGCTCCAGCTGTCAGTGTCCCACAATGCCTGACTTTAGTCAGTGGAAGTGCTCCTGGCTAGACTAACCTCACTAACTAGCGATGTGTTATTTTCCTTTAAAGTCAAGGATGTTACACGGGGTCTAAACCCTAAAATATATATGTTTACACCTTTATAAAATAAATACAAGGATTGGGACTTCTGCTTTCACATGGGCTCATCCTGGGTATTATATTGATAAAACATCCAGTTGCACCACATAACCAGTTGTGTACGTGCTCAGTATTGTGGATGTTGAAACCATTTCAGATGAAATTTTCAGAGAAAAACTGACCGTTACTGTAGCTGTTAGGTACACATGGTGTCTTTGGTTCAATTATGTAACACACTTCACTGAGAAATTGGACCTCCAGTCTACTTTGTGGTTTTTTCCCAGCCTCAATTCCACTGACTTCTGTAAAATTACAAAAAAACTGTATCGAGACTCAGACACTGAGACCACAGACTCAGCCTGGGTTACCCCTAGCAGCTCTATCTTCTCCCTGCAGACTTGGGCTGGATCTGACTGATGTTCAAAATGTCTGCCAGTTTTACCCCTGGTGGAACTCACTACTGGTTGGTCAGGAGTTTCCAGCTGCTAGCTAAAGGTGTATGTACATGCAGGAAAGTCTGTTGTTATGAACGAAGCCTTCCATGCCGGCTTCAACACAGCTACTTAGCAGATTAACTTCCTGCACTCCCTCAAGTGTGTTAAATTGTAACTACTTGTTCGCAGTTACTCACAGCACTATACTGCCACCTTGTCTGGGAATGTTTCCATATCAACTCAGAGCAGAGCAGAGACAGCAGCTGTAATTACAGCTGCTAAGGTTTTTGGAGGATCACCAGACAATAAGACAAAATGAGGAGAAGCGAGTTAATAACCATACTCTAAAACAGCTCTATAAACTACCTAGGAGCAGGAAGTGGCATAGTTAGGCTAGTACCATGCACAGGAAAACAATGCAAGTTTGTATGTGTCATGGAAATGTATAGCAGTAATTGGAAAACATGTTAATGTGTAGGTTAGCAAGGCCTCAGCCATAGATTGCATCAGTAAATAAAATAGTGCAACTTCTGAGCTGCCTGATTGGCTCTAAAGGTCTCATACTACAAAGAGTTGATTTAATTCCATGGGAGTTGAGGATGCTCGGCACCTTGCATAGTCGAGCGGTAACAGCCTGGTTTTCAGAGGCTCGGAGCACTGGCGGCTGTGCTTCACTCCTGCAGGTCAGGCCCTAAGTGACTAAGCATTGCTCAGAACTATTACTAAAGAAACTGACAGCATGTTGTGACCCGGTACATACTGTAGCTGTCACCTTGCTAACAAACATGTTTTTCCTGTCTAGTCTGAATAGCATTTTATTAATACCATTATTTGTATTATGGTAATACTTAATGGTCCCGACTGAAACCAGGGATCCTATGGCTCTGAGTTAGGGGTGAAAATAACTTAAAGGACTTACCGGGACGCCGGAGTCCTAAGCAGGGGGCGTGGCCTCAACCGGAAGAGGCAGGGCCTTTAAATACCCGGGCCCTTTAAATCAAGATTTAAAGGCCCTGGGGTTCCGGCTGCGGCTGGGAGACCCAGGGCCTTTAAATCACCCCTGGAGCTAACAGATGCAGAGGCGGCTGGGGGCTCCGGGGCAATTTAAAGGGCCCAGGGCTCCAGCCACTGCTACTGCAGTGGAACTCCGGGCCCTTTAAATCTCTGATGCCGCTACCCCAGGGCTCCGGCAGCAGGGTTTGGTCGGCAATTTAAAGGGCCCAGGGCTCCAGCTGCTGCACGGAGCCCTGGGCTCTTTAAATCGCCAGCCTGCGGAAGTTGGTCCGGTGCGGCATGGCATACTGGACCGAACCGGCTTAGTTTCACCTCTGCTCTGAATACAGGACAGTCACATAATAATAGATAGTCTTTGTCCTGAAGAACTTACAAAGGCACTGGAGAAGAGAATTATTATCCCTCGTTCACTGATAGTGAACTGAGGCACAGAGAGTGTGACTTGTTCAAGTTCACACACAAACTGGAAGAGCTGAGAATTGAACCCAGATCTCTCTGCTCTCCTGTGCAGTGTCAGGCTATCGTTGTGGCTTATTCTCCAAAGGTATCTTAACTTGTTTTAACTAAAACATACTATAAACTACGTCCTGTGTAGTTTAATAGAACACTTTTACACAACCTGATTCTCTGAGATGGAAGAAATTCCTGGTTCAGGAAACTGCTAGCAAAAAAAGTGAACACAACTGTTGCTGCTTCAGTCATAGTGCGATGAGAATGAAGGATGGGGATGTAGCTCTAAAGAGAAACTAAATTATTTTCCTTTGTGTTGGCATATAGAGACCAAAGTCAAAGTGGGAGTGGAAGGCATTCAGCAGCTCATAATATCAGCTCCTTGAACTCTTTAATTGTGAATAAAAATGAGATATTAATTATTTAAATCTATAATAGGATGAGAGGAGGGAAAGGGAAAAGATAATTGCCCGGATTTATTTAACTATAAATTAAACTTCACTGGAGGGGCACTTTAAAAAAAAAATAAAAAAAATTCTGAAGCTTAAAGTAATAAAAACTCATGCCACTGTCTCTGGATTAAAGGTTAGCCAAGCATGCTGGCTTTATTATATTAATGCAACAATGAAGTATTGTTTTAAAGCAGTTTGCTTGCAAGTAATTCTGATAGGACTCCAAAGCATGTTTGAGAAACTGTCAGCAGCATACCACAGGAAAACAATGGACATTTATTGTAGAAATTCAGGCAGTCCCTTCTGAACAGCACTAATCCATTAATTTAAAACAGGAAGACAGAATATTTTATGTGTCCGAGTCTCTTCATGTCCATCTTAATTATATACAGAATAAAGAAGTTGCAGTTTGAATGTGGCACATCATTCTATTAAGCAGCATGCAGTTTATTACCTGACCACTCATTCATGGCTCTAGGCCATAGGCATGTCCTATAGCTATTTGACCTTAGAAATGAGGTAATTCATGAAAAGTCAAGTGACAACTGGCAGTAAATGTCCCCCTGCTCATAAGAGTTTCTGATGTAAATTGGAACCCAGTTTATTTTGTCTGTATAAAACGAGTGCTGAGTGGAAATGTTTCACAACCTCTTATCTTTATTTCTAAAGCCTATTCTTCCATCACCTCTCTGTTGGGTTATGGTCTCAGTGCTGTGGCACTGTATTCGAATCATGTGGGCTAATAACTAGGTTGGGCCAAAACAAACATATATTTCCACTTCTGTAATGTGCACCCATTGCAATTTCCATGTGTGATAACTGCCTTTGTTTTATGGTGTAAGTGCTCTGGACAAAAAGAGCATTTTTCTGCTGTGAAATAAAAATGAGTCAAAAGGTAAATGTCATGTTTGGTTTGGTGTGGGTATTCATCTTTTGTTTACAGCTACGGAACAAAATTTTCAAAAAGATACACCCAAGTTTCTGTGCAGAATGTGTTATGCACACAGCTGTCAATTAAACAATTTGTGCAGCACTTGCGGATAAAACTGAATATTTGGCTTTGGCAATCCTTTCAGAAAATATGGTCTACCTTATTCCAGCATTTATAATCGTTGGCACTGGTTTTGTTTTTTTTTTCATTACCAAACGTTTTCACATGGGGGACAAAAACTTAGATTTGTGTGTGCAGACTACATTTCTGCACACACATAGCCGATTTGCTTAGAATCATAGGACTGGACGGGACCTCGAGAGGTCATCTAGTTCAGTCCCCTGCGCTCATGGCAGGACTAAGTATTATCTAGACCATCCCTGACAGGTGTTTGTTTAACCTGCTCTTAAAAATCTCCAGTGATGGAGAGTTTTTCCTAATGTCCACCCGAAACCTCCCTTGCTGCAACATAAGCCTATTGCTTCTTGTCCTATCCTCAGACGTAAAGAGGAACAATTTTTTTCCTCCTCATCCTAACAACCTTTTATGTACTTGAAAACTGTTACCATGTCTCCTCTCAGTCTTCTCTTTTCCAGACTACACAAACCCAATTTTTTCAATCTTCCCTTATAGGTCATGTTTACTAGACCTTTAAATCATTATTCTTGCTCTTCTCTGGACTTTCTCCAATTTGTCTACATCTTTCCTGAAATGTGGTGCCCAGAACTGGACACAATACTCCAGCTGAGGCCTAATACAAATGTTGTACCAATAAAATAAAAGCCAGCAGGATCTTATTAAAGGGAAAAAGGCAAAATACCACATTTATTGTGAATACAGAAAGAATCATAGTAAGCAGTTAGTTCTAGTTATAACATTCCATTCAATCTCATATTTATTCACACATTCATTCACACACACACACACACACACACACACACACACACACACACACACAGGTTCTGCAAGGTTGTTATCATAGTTACCAGCCTTAGAGTTGCTCATGCCAAGCCACTGGCCAGGTGGCCTGGACATGAGGAGGGAGCAGGGCCTTGTCAGATGCTCATCTGATGCTCCTGGAAGTTGGTTTGCAGAATCAGACCCCAAAGTTCTCACTTTTTAGAGTCTATTTTTATAGGAATTTCTTCCCATGCCAGTCTATGGGAATTGCTTCATCATGCTGTTGCTGAATCAATCAGCAGATAGCACATTCCTGACGGCTCCCGTGCTCCTAGATGTTATCTTGTTCTTTGGTTCTCCCATTCTTGAGGCTGTTGGGTGGATTCCAGTCTGCCCTCTGGGGGTCCTCTGGTTATTTCCACTTGATGCCTTCTTCAGCCGATGGACACTGGATTCTTAGGCTGGCACCTCCCTGATCATTCAGTTATTATCCACACCAAGCATCCATCCACATACATCCTCTATCTCTATTTTAATTACAATTGTTAATACAACAAAAGGGCGGGGAGTCTCTGGGTGCTGTTTCTGTTGTTAGAGTATTGCCTTGAGTCTCTCTCTCTGTGAATTGCTTTGAGAACAGACTCTGTCTTAGAATGTACTAACACAATTAGCAGCTTGCAAGTTTCACACATAGAGGGAGAGAAACAGTACCAAAAACCAAGAGACCTCTTAATTAGTAATACCCTGGAATTTAAACTCTGGGGAATCAAACTCATTTGTGATTTTAATACAGAACTTCTTTAATATGATCCAACACACAATACTAGGACACAATACTCCAGTGGGCACGGAGTAAAGCGGAAGAATTACTTCTCGTGTGTTGCTTACAACACTCCTGCCAATACATCCCAGAATGATGTTTGCCTTTTTTGCAACAGTGTTATACTGTTGACTCATATTTAGCTTGTGGTCCACTATGACCCCCAGATCCCTTTGCACAGTACTCCTTCTTAGGCAGTCATTTCCCATTGTGTATGTATGCAACTGATTGTTCCTTCCTAAAAGGAGTTCTTTGCATTTATCCAGATTATTTTGAATTATAATCCTATCCTCCAAAGCACTTGCAACCCGTCCCAGATTGGTATCGTCCGCAAACTTTATAAGTGTACTCTCCTTGCCATTATCTAAATCATTGATGAAGATATTGAACAGAACCGGACCAAGAACTGATCCCTGCAGGGCCCCACTCGTTATGCCCTTCCAGCATGACTGTGAACCACTGATGACTACTCTCTGTGAACGGTTTTCCAATCAGTTATGCACCCACCTTATAGTAGCTCCTTCTAGGTTTCTTTTGCCTAGGTTGTTTATGAGAAGGTCATACGAGACAGTATCAAAAGCTTTACTAAAGTCAAGATGTGCCACGTCTACTGCTTCCCCCCATTAGCAAGGCTTGTTAATCTGTCAGAGAAAGCTGTCAGGTTGCTTTGACACGATTTTTTCTTGACAAATCCATGCTGACTGTTACTTATCACCTTATTATCTTCTAGATGTTTGCAAATTGATTGCTTTATTATTTGCTCGATTTATCTTTCTGGGTACAGAAATTAAGCTGACAGGTCTGTAATTCCCTGGGTTGTACTTATTTCCCTTTTTATAGGTTGGCGCTATATTTGCCTTTTTCTAGTCTTCTGGAATATCTCCCATCTTCCATGACTTTTCAAAGATAATCGCTGATGGCTCAGATATCTCCCCAGTCAGCTTCTTGAGTATTCTAGGATGCATTTCATCAGGCCCTGGTGGCTTGAAGACCTCTAACTTGTCTAAGTAATTTTAAACTTGTACAAATGCAGTTCCTTACACAAAATCTTGAACATGAAAAATTATGGCTGCAATTCTAGCACCTACTTTTGAAAACTGGATCTTAATGTCCAAAGTCAGAGGGAAAAATATAGTTCTCTAATATAAGTATTCTTGTAAGTAACTGTGCATGCACTGGATGCTCAGTATGACTTCTGATCATGGAAGTGTTTATGCATTCCTCACTCACAAGATTAACATCTTCAAGTGAAGATGGTGGACGATGAAAGAAGCAGAAAATGAATTGCATAAAAATGTATTCTCTACTAGGTGCTGATCTTTGTGAAGATGCCTGTTTCTGTTTAAATTCTGCGAGGCACAGCTGTAATAGTTTGCACAATACTATGAAATATTCAGTAAAATAGTACTAGATAGGAGAAATGTGTTTATAAATGGCACTTGTTAAAGTAAACATGGCAAGACCAGATGAAATACCTTTTGTCTTTATGTTCTACGGAGTAAACATCTAAAATGAAAATAAACAAAAAAAACCCCACCAACTTTTAAAAATCATTGATATTCCAAGAATTGTTTACTCTGTAAATTACCTACTGTATGGCATATGATGTCAATTCTCCAGAGATTCTGTGGGTAAAAGAGAGCCTGGAGATTGTCTGTGAGAACAGAACTGCTGCTGTTAACCATAGAATGCCTAAGAATAGGATGGATCAAGGGACGCTGAGCCAAGCTTGGTGCTGTTGTTTTCTGCTTACCTGTCAAAGTGCCACAGCATGGATCTGGATATGTGGGGGAGATGAGCGGGAGTGTGTAAAGTAACAAAACAAAAAATTCAGACTATACTGTGATCATTGACAGCAGCAAGAATTCATAATTCCTTCCCCTCCCTCCCCACAATTAAATATTCAGAAGTTAGTATTTTATTTAAATTGCACCCAAAGGCTGTGTCTACACTAACAGAATTTAGAAAAAAAATGTCATCAGTGCTACCACCAGTTCAGCTGTATTCATGTTAGTATCTGCAGGCGTCCTACTTTTATAGAAGACTCCAACAGCTTCTGATCTCTTTACTGTTGAGTCATTAACCTTGCTGCTGAAGTCTTGTCTGCACTGAGGATTCCAGTGCTATTGCTGAATTGGTGGTGCCACTGGGCATTTTTTCCCAAATTTGTCTAATGGGTACATAGCTATAGAAACTCTCCAGCTTGGAACTGGATGTGGGATGGATTGATTTTTTTTTCAGTGCATAAACCAAGGCTTACATGATAAACATTTTAATGAAAACTTCCTTTCCCTTTTTCTGTTAAGGTAAGTAGTTATTTTAATAAGGAAGCTGTCTGTCTCATCCCCCATTCTCTAGAAATGAACTGTTCCTAAAATGGACCAGCAAGGATCATTGTTTTCTTTTCTGTGTCAAGCATTCCCAACCTGTCTTTTTACAGAATTGATCAAAAAATGTCTGGAGGTCAGAGTGGGTATGAACTGAGTGAAGCCAAAGCCATTCTGAGCGAGCTGAAGTCTATCAGAAAGGCCATAAGCTCAGGAGAAAGAGAAAAACAAGATTTAATGCAGGTATTTGTATTGATTGATTGACATCAACCCCTCAAGATAACAATTTTTTTTTTAAATCCTAACCTGATTTAGTGGTGTTAACTACTCTTCACTTGTACAATGTCTTTAATCAGAGGAACTCAAATAATTTTGCAACACTACATATACCAACTTAGATGAAGAAACTGAGGCATTTAAAGATTACATGATTTGCCCACGGTCACACAGCAAGTTGCTGGCAGCGTCAGGACGAGAACATAAATATCCTGGCTCTGACCAGAAGTTCCTGTGGTGGTAATCGCTTTAAAAGAGCCAAGCATTAACCATACAAATCATAGCTCAGAGAGAGAGAGAGAATGCATGTTAAATATTTTTCCTCCTGTACTTAAGAAACCTGGGGGAAATCCTGGCCACATTAAAGTCAATGGAAGTCTTGCTGTTGATTTCGGTGGAGCCAGGATTTCACCCTGAGTCTAACTTCCACTGTACCCATTCCGGAAAACATGTTTTGGCATAAGTAGCTAAATAGTCAGTTAGTTGACTCACTTAACAATAACAACAAAAGCGTCTTTCTTGTCATTACACAAAGGGTCATAATGTACCCTTCACTTTGTCTGAGAAGTCTACTTGTCTTAAGCATTTGATTTATTATCTTTTTATCTTCTGCATTTGTGTCATATATTGATTTGATTTAATATTAATAAAAATTAACCTGTTGTGAATGCAAGGTCCAAGATTAAATTAGCATTTTCTGCCTTTTTATTTTGAAATGGTTACACTGTTTACTTGGATCAGCAATTCTTTATAAAATATTAGGACATGGAAAGGTTGACTTTCCATCTGCATATGGAATACAAAGGGTTGAAAGATAACAGAGCTCTCTTTCCTTTATTTCATCCTGTCCAGCAGATCACTGAACTTTACTGTGTATTGTGCCATGAAGTTCGATGGACAAATTTGTTTAATTCATGGCACTGCCTGAACAGTAATTTGCCAATATAAGCAAACTAGTTTCATAGGTTGGGACTGGAATCAGGAGACCGTGGTTCTGTTCTTGTTTCTCCCTCTCTCTTGCTGTGTGACCTTGAGCAAATCACCCTCTCCAAGACTCAGTTTCTCCATCTATAAAAACAGAAAAGACCATTTATTATTTATATTGAAGTAGTCCACAAAATCTTCTCAAGGTATTCCAAGCACAGGGGAAGATGTAGTGTCTTCCCCAAAGACAGCATACTTCATCTTGAGCAGCTTTATAATGGAGATGTGTTTCTGGGTATAAATAAACCAGTAGAGCTATTTGGATGGCTGGATAACTTAGTGCTAAATGAAAACTGAATGTTTATTCTTTTGGGATTTTTGATTAAATGTCTCAGATACAATTTATGTATGGGATCCTTTTCAGATTACATTGTGGTCCTTCTGCTCCTGAAGACTCTATTGTGCCTTTTAGAAACAGCTTTCTTAAGGGGTCTCCCATGCATTCCCCTCTACAGCTGGCCAGCTGTGCTGGCTGGTGCAAAAAGGACATGAGGTCAAGGCTCTGATTCTTCTCTTGGAACTTTTGCGGTGGCAGGTGGTACTAGGCTCATGCAGTCCTGGCATTCATCTGAATGCAGCCTGAATGGACATGTAAAAGGAAGAGAGACACTCAACTGTACACCTCCCCAGGTCTAATCTGGAGCTGAATGAGGAAATAAGCTTCACACTATTGTGCTTAAACTATACATTGATATGTAGCAGTGGTGAAATGTTCCTGAAGTGCGAAGATGTAATAGTAAAGCATTCTCTGATTTCAGAGCCTTGCAAAGTTGAGAGAGCGATTTCACGTTGACCAGACCGTTGGGAGATCTGAACCAGATTTGAGGTCCAGCTCTGTAAACTCTCATTTGTCTCTCTCTAGACAGACTCTGGATGCAGGGTCTCAGACAGACATTTCTGGCGATGTAAGTCCTTTTTATTTTGGCAAGGGTAAAGGGAGAATGATGGTAGAATGCTGCTGTTGATGGGATTGGAATCTTTACTCTTATTGCTGTGTGTGTAACTAGGTGTAAGGGAAAATTACCTACCCTGCTACCGGGTAAGTTTTTTTTACTTTCCCCTTAAAAATTTAATCTGAATTTTTATTTCAAATTAAATAAATAATTTGCCATGAAGCCTTTGTATAGTAATCTGATTTTATCAAACAATTCTTACATAATATAGATGAACAGTTCTATAACTGGGAAGTATTTTTTATTTATTTTTATGAGCCATTTTATCTTAAAACATATTATGAAAGCCAAGTAACATAGAGGTTAAGTTTAAAGCTGATCTCTTTGAAAAACAGGATTTCAAAATTACCTAATAATTTAATTTTTGTCCAGCTGAAAACCAGTTGGTGTATTAGCCTTTCAGTGATTGTCATTAAAATCTTCTGTATGTAACTAACCTAGACACCTGTCATGAGTTTGCATTCAGAAATGTTTATCAAACATTGGCATTTTCCTGGGCGTTCATGAGCTAAATGTATAAAGAAAAGATTGTATTAGGTTTTCAAGACATAGGCGTTGTCTATACTACTGTGGTAAATCGACCTAAATTACGCTACTCCAGCTACGTGAATAACATAGCTCGAGTCAGTGTAGCTTAGGTCGACTTACTGCCGTGTCTACTCTGTGCTGTGTTGATGGGAGACGCTCTCCCATCGACGTACCTTACTCTTCTTGTTCTGGTGGAGTACCAGAGTCAACCGGAGAATGCTCTGTGGTCAATTTAGCGGGTCTTCACTCGACCCACTAAATTGACCCCACTGCATCGATCGCAGCAGCGTGGATTCCCGATAAGTGTAGACATGGCCTCAGGGCGTAACTTAGGTGTGGTTTTAGCAAATGCTATTCCATTGAAGTTCTACTTTGAATTCCATTGAAGTCAGAACTTTGGATGAAACCAATGTGGTTCAAAGTAGGATTTCAGTGGTGTCACAGCTGCTTACACCACATCTGAATGTGGCCCTAATGTCAATTTAGCAGTTGAAAACAAAAATAAACAGAAGAAAAAAATCACGAAACATTATGAATTTGAGTAGTGTATTAATTAGACCTTGTACTGAAAAACAGTTGGCAGACTGTGTTGCTACTACTGGGCATGTTTTCCATTTTAAGTAAGTAATTTCTGTAGTACATGCATTTGCTTTGTGTTGTGGATGTGTCTTGTATAATAATAAAGTTGATTTTTTTTCTCGACAGATTGGAGTGAAAAGTAGATCAAATTTAGCTGAAAAAGTCAGACTAAGTCTTCAATATGAAGAGGCAAAAAGAAGGTAATAGGGTTAGTTGCTTTGTTAAATTAAGTAGATCGTGAATTGGAACATTTTTCAGCATATAATGCATTCTGTAGCAGTACAACTAATCTTGTGCTTGCCATGCCATGACATCTAGTGGAGGGTATTTTTGGACAAATTGCAGCCAATGCATTCATTTCAAGGCTGTTCTCCTGTTTCTTACTTCTGTCAGAGACTTGAGTACTGGTTTATTCTTACTATAAAGTACAAGTTCTAGTTTAATATTAGTTCATGTTTAGAAACAAAAATACAGACGTACAATACAGAAATACAATAATTTGACTGCAGTTCACAGGATTAAGGAAGTGGAGTAAATTAAGTGTTAATTCCCAATCTCACAGAAAGTACTGGCAAACCCTTATGCCCATGTACATCCTACTGCAGGATCAGGGCTTCAGTTTACTATGGCACAAGTGGCTTTTTGGTTTTACAGAGTTGCTTCTTCTCAGCGTGCGAGTTCCAGTATAGTCTCTGATTGGCTTAAGGATCTCATTTCCGTTGGGAGCTTGGATAAATTAACCAATTGTAACCTTTTGAATGCTTTGCCCCGGGAGAAAGGAAATCAAAATCTCCACAACTGATGAATGTGGGATGTCCTTCAGAGAAAATGCTGCAGTGACTACTCAGAAAAGTAATGAAATTTTGATTAAAGGCTGCCACAACCCTGTAAACAGGTTTTGCAGGGCAGAGTTGTCCTAAATTGTCGGTTGCACTTGATTCTCCTTGACCACCAGAAAATATTATGTAGCACTGGGAAGAGATTTACTATGCCTATTTATCAGAGGGGTAGCCATGTTAGTCTGGATCTGTAAAAGCGGCAAAGAGTCCTGTGGCACCTTATAGACTAACAGACGTATTGGAGTATAAGCTTTCGTGGGTGAATACCCACTTCGTCAGATGCATGTTAGATGCACGTCAGATGCATATTATGTCTAAATATGTTTATTTAGACATAATATGTGCATAGGTCACTTGTAACTCGTGTTCCAGTTGTGCTATGTTGATACTATTTCTGGTACTTCTTCATAAAATAGGTGTGTTGAAGTAAGGCTTTTATCAGAAACCAATCTTATTAACCTCACCCAATGAAGGGACTTTTTTCCTTTCATTATAGAGACACAGAAGCCTAGAGGGGCTTTTCACATTGAAGTTTCAATTTCTAAAGAACTAAGGAAATTCCCAGACAAAAATGAGATCTGAGATACTGTTAAAGTTGTAAGTAGTGTGATACAGCATGGCCAGAGGGCAGCAGGAGAGTGTTAGAAGGGAGCCTTATTCCCTGTAGAGGGAAGAAAGTTTGCTATAAATTAATTAAAGCACCTGAAGCCAGTCACATGATAAAAACCCCCTGCTTCAATCAGACAAGAGGAGGAGTTGAAGTAGAGTGGATTGGCATTGGAGCGAAGAGCAGTTTGGAGGAGTTGAAACAGAGTGGATTGGTGTTGGAGCAGAGAGCAGTTTGGAGGGAAGCAAAGAAGAGTTTGGAGAAGTGCTGTGGTGGGCTAAGAAGACCAAGACCCTAGGTAAAGTGACACCTGGTTTGTGCAGAGAGAGGGCAGGAAGCCGCAGAAGCTGAAGGGCAGGAGAGGGAAGTAGCCCAGGGGAGGGAACCGCTAGTTCTAGTGGTTTACTGCTATCCCTAGGGCCCCTGGGCTGGGCCCCGGAGTAGAGGGCGGGCCCAGGTCCCTCCCTGTCCACTCCCCTCCTCTAGGACACTAGTGGGACAGTTAATACCCCAGTTCAGAGGCAAGAAACGGTGCCCTGAACCCCCACCCAAGAAGAGAAAGCGCAAGACCCATCATAGTAGTGCCGGTAATTTGCCACAGTAGATATCAATTTAATGAGAACATTATAACTTTGGCAGTCAGGGATGGAAGAGGAGACATTTGAAGTCCTAGAAATTAAAACGTAACTTTTTTTAAGAGTAAAAGGCAGGAGATTACACAAACAACCTTTATTGTTCCCCATATAAGCACCTAACAGCTAGTCATCTTATTGGGAAACTGTACCTCAACCACATCTCCAATATAGACCATAATACTTGGTTTTGCCAGTAAATCAGTACTGTCTGCAAAAATGTAAAGAGACAGGGCTATGGAGGTTATCTCAGTATCAAAAGTTGTATGATTTTTTTGGCTCTGGTTCATAATGTAAATAACATCAACTACCATCCAGTACTGTAGATACTAACAGACAGCACCTTTCCATAAGGACCGTTAATTTAAACATATGCTGTCCTCCATTTCAACGATGTGTTGGTGTCAAGAAACACGGCATCTCACATCTTCTCTCTGTCCATGTAGACCAAAAACACTGACTGTGTCAGTCTACCAAACCCACCATATAAAGTATATGTTAATACGAATACATAATTCTGCACCATCAGATCTAGCTCTCTCCTCTATTACATATGGGATTTGGGTCAGATTTAAGGTTTTTATGAAACCTTAACTTTGAACTTCCAAGTATTTCTTCTTTATAACTAGAACATTTTAGTAATGTCATTTTAATTGAACGGATCTCTGTTTAGAATTTGGGCTGTAGCTTAATGGAGACATTCTGGAAATAACCCAGTAATTTGCATCCTTTTCAGTTCTAATAGGAAGCAAATGAGACTTCCTGAAAGACAGAACACATTTAAAGGCTTCCTTTTAAGGGAAGGGACATTCTGGTTTTATCAGTGACTAGAGAATGCTTTTGATAAAATTCCTGTATCTTGAAATAATGAACGAAGGTAACCAGTTTGTCCTCAGTCTCAATGCATAATCATATCACAGCATCTCCCAGGCCAATTACTGTAGCCATAATCGTTATTATAAAAGTAGTAAGTATGACCCTTCTTTCTGAAGTGTCAAATGTGTGAGATTCACTTGTCTTGTATTAGAAGAGTCAAGCAAGGGAAAAAACACTTTTTCAAATGGGTTTCCCAATTTGGAAAGTATAAGAAAATATTTTCTTTTTCAAAAGGCTACTTGCTTTTTTTTAAATTAAATTAATTAATTCATATTGTTTAGCCAGAAAAATCTCTCTTAAACAGATGGAACTTTGGCTTTAAATACACTTGGGCATTTAGGGAAAATAGCAAATCCTGTGGGACAAACTCAGATGTTGCTACAAAAAGTCAGCTTTACTGGCCTCAACTACAGCAGATAAACACTTTTAAACTATTGTACAATGCTTCAAGTGAATTTTGGTGCTCACAAATTGGGCCCGGCTTTGAATCTTTATTTACAGAGGGCAGGTACTGCATGAGCAATGCTATCTGTGGTGAAGCTCTTACTAATGTGCCTTGACCCGGTTAAGTGGGGAATGCCTCAGAGGGTGAGAGGGTAATTCAGTTTTCATGTCCATTTAATCCCTTTCCCCTCTGATGAGACTGTTAACAAGGGTGCCAATTATGATAGTGGATAGCTGGCTACATCAGAGAAAGCTCTGAGACCACCAACTCATCCCATAAGCCATTAAACAGCTGTCAGCAGCATCTATTTTCAGACACGACCAAGGTTAGCTAGATTTGAACCAGTGACTTGGAGATGAAAGTCTCTACATCCCATTCTCAATGTGAAACCAATCAGTTGGTTTCCCTACAAGTCTCTCCTCCCTAACAGAATGTTAAATATAAATAATTGATATATTGAGCAGCTCCAAAATATGTTTACGTATAAATTAAACAGTTTATTTTTTCAGTCTCCCCAGTTGTTTGGTTACTGACTTCATACTGCAGCTTAAAGTACTGTGTTCAACTTTGGTTTCATTGTTGTTTTATAAAATATCATGCTTCTGACTTGTGGGGTTTTTTTAAGCTGCTGGTATAGAGGTTGGAGTGGGGAGGAAATCTCCAAGATCTCAGTTTGTGATTCAACCACGTTTGTCCTTCTGATTTCTGAATTAAGTAATGGGGCGGACAGGTTATTGAGAGACCTGTTTTTTGTGATCAGTGACGCTAATAATATCATGCTTATTTAGCATTTTGATTATTAATTTTCCAGTACATCGAGGCAGTTGTTTATGGCTTTTCTGGTTGAAGCTAAAGAACAGCTGATGTTGGGTCTTTCCAGACTGCAGAGAGATTGTGAATAACAAATTTACTCTTGTTTGTGAAATATTATATGGGCCAGATCCTCAGATGATGTAAATTGGCATTGAAGTCAGTGTAGTTACACTGATACACCAGCTGAGGATCTGACCCACATCTATTTAACAATGACAAGACACTCACTGCTTCTTACCCTGAGCTATCCTGCAATGTGCTTCTCTCTCACCTTCCCTTGCTCTGACCTTCTCCCAGTCTAGAAGAGGAGAGGTGCTGAATGGCTCTGGGAAATGTTAATGGGTGGGATAAACAGCTTTTGAACTAGGTGGTCTGTTGAAATCCAGCTCATGTTGGTAGTTACTGAAAGTTCCCATCCAGTAATTATGTGGCCCATGTGATGTAAGTTTGATGGTCTTTGAAGCTCCCAGTGGGCTTCTGTATCTATGTAACGAAAAGCCACAATACAAATTTGTGCCCGTTAGTTTCAGCAGAGAGGTTGAGGACTGAATGGTTATGGAGAGGGAGCTACTAGAAGTAGTCCTTCCTAGTCAGGGTTGAGTCATGTTAGCAGGATAATGTTGGGAAGCTTCGACCCGCCCTTAGACATACTACAGTATATCTGTTCTGTCAATAAGCAGAAGACTTGCAGTCTAGCACCTCTGACAATTCACCCAGCCTTTAAAATGTTATCTCCCTTTCCTTTTTGCTTGCAACTGTTAATGGTACCTTACCTTTCAGAAGGGTGATAAGACTTCCTTCATCCTTTGAGACTCATTCATCTATTTGCCACTAGAGTTTGTGCCCAGATATCATGCTCGTTATGTCACAAAGTTGTACAAATATTCCATTACTGCAATTTAACCAGCCTCTAGCACTTTAGGGTAGCTGGGTACCTCTCTTGGTTCCATGGTCTACCCAGTGCTTCTACAGTGTCAGCAGACTGATGTTTTTAAAACATTCTAGCTGTAAACTGTATTTTTAAGTCAGCTTTTGCACTTTAGGAGAAAGAGGTTCACATTTTAAATACATAAATCTTCACATTTTAGTATGCCTCCATATATGAATAAAAAAAAATAAATGTGTAAGGGAGCACATTTTGGGGCATAAGCCAGTCATTAACTGCCTGGTGTTTGAAAGAAACTTCCCCATATTGGCAAGGAATGGGGTTCGTTGTACCTTCTGATGCATCTGGTACAAATACAGGCTACTGGACTAGATGGCCCACTGATCTGATGCAGTGTGAAAATTCCTATGTTTTCGTGAAGCAACATTAATTGTAAGCATAACTTTTTGTGCAAAATCTATATCCTGGTATGTACATGTCACGCACCTTTGTTGGTAGTTATAAAGTCTCCATTTTGCACTCCCAATTCTTTGGAACTGTTCAGTATGCCAGACCCAAATACATGTATCTTTTTTGTTTTAGCATGGCAAACTTAAAGATTGAACTATCTAAATTAGATAGTGAGACCTGGCCTGGAGCACTGGATATTGAGAAGGAAAAACTGATGCTGATCAATGAAAAGGAAGAGCTTTTAAAAGAACTGCAATTTGTCACACCGCGCAAACGCACTCAAGATGAGCTAGAGCACCTGGAAGCAGAAAGAAAGAGGCTGGAAGAAGAGCTGCTGTCTGTGAAAAGCACTCCTAATCAAGCACTTGCTGAGAGGTACGTTTTCATCTTTTGCTAATGTTAAGTACTGTTATCTGCAGTTTAACCTTTGTACTTGTTGCAGGTCTGTGCTGTGCCTTGATGGACCATTTTCCTTCAGTAACTGTTCTGTGCAGATCATAATTACATTTATTATTATTCCACTAAGAGTAACGCAGAGGATCCTGTTGTATCATGAAAGAAAACACACACCCTGTATCGGTTGTGCAGTATCGGTTGCTCTGCATTTGTTACCAGCATTAAAATGCCTATGACAGATGTTGGATAATTGAGGAATGTCAACATACCATCAGGAGGGCAATACATCATTCACTGGTTTCAGATAATAGCTGTAAGCTGTTTGAACTCTAGCTATTTGATTGTTGCAACATCTGAAATCTCTCGCTGGGTTTCATTACACAAATAATGCAGATGTGTCACTGCTTTAAGCTCAGAAGAAGGCAATTGCAGCAGAACTTCACTAATTTGCACTAGTAAATAAGATGCCCACTGCAACATACTGAGTTTTGCCAGCTAGAGAAAGAGCTTGAAAAAATTAATGGAAACTTTGTCACAAAATACGACTTACGTTAAACAATGGTGGATGTAAATTTTATTGGGGATTTTTTTCTCGTGCGTTAGTAAATACACTGTAGTATGTCTGGTAGAAATAAAGAAGTCAATATTCAGACTTTCACTATAGCACTCTGTCAAAGGTCTGATCCTGCTCAGAGTCCCATTAAAGTGAATGGCAATGGGAGCTAGATTGATTTGAGCCCTAAATCATTGAGTAGAGAAGACACTTCCCATTTCTGTGTGCAAATTATGTCAATTGTATATTAGCAAAGGGTAGATTAAGCAAGGTTTGATTTACACCCTTTTCAATCCTTTAAATTGTGGTTTGTTTCAGTTATCCACAGAAGCAGGTTAGGGGTGATCTCAGCCTTATGAAACTACTGAAAAAATTTCCTCTTGACTTTTTGAATAGGAAGATTTGACTTGATGTTTTAAAATGTTAAAACTTTGTCGTCTTTATACAGTTCACCCTTCAATGGAGGGAGCAGGCAAAGACTATCTGTGCTGCACTCAGGAAGTCTAGTTTTGCGAAGGGGACTAGGTTTGAGGATAGGATGTAGGGAGACTTGTGGGAAGGGGCTGGCAGGAAAAATAAGGCAATTTGGAAGGAAGTATAGCAGAGCGGGGTTACCTCAGAAGAGAGCCAGCATGCTGGGTGTGTTTAGTAATATTTACAGTCTCAAGAATAATTCCTGAATCATGTGAGAATTAGAAGTGCATAGAGCCTTATAGATGTAGAGATGTGTTTGAATGGAACTAAATTTCCAAGGAAGAAATTAACCAGCTGTGTTAGTAATCTCTCTGATTAAGTTACCAGAGATGTGTTGCCCTCTAACATCCATTGATGAAGTAATAAATAGAAAAAAGAAGAATCATAAAATCACATTTATAACAAATTAAAGAGTGTAAACCAAGGGTTTGATAAGTAGGCTAACTAGTAACAACTGGATCCTGGTTCTTATGCTACGATTTAGCAGTTGATTTATTAGTCTGTGTCTGAATTTGCATGTTTATCACTAAAGATAATGTTGTGCTTATAGGTGTGTGCACATATAAGACAGATTCTTAATTTACATGAGTATAATAAAAAAGTAAGTTACATTTTTTTCTGCTATCAAGAAGAGATGTGATGATGATATTTTCCAGGACTCCGTTTACTGTGTGGCTGGCTGGTGACCCATTCTGGACTAACATTTCCCTCTGTCCCTCCACAAACTGTCCTCTAACTAGAATGGCAGAATGCTGTGTCTCTTCCGAGGCCGTCAGCAGTTCTGGTATTCTGTCTTCTGACCAGTAGGTGGTACTTGAAGATAGGGTGCTCATGCTTGACTGAACATTATAATGAATCTCAACCTGTAACCTTTATAACTTAACTAAATCCCATACCTCCAAAGTAAATATGCTCTTTTCACACTAAGCTAGATTTGTTGCATCTCTTGCTGACTCAGAGGGTACTCTAAATTTTGTAAAAAGATTCAAAGGTGAACCTTTCCTGAATTTTTAAACTCTTTTAATTAATGGTCAAACCTCCGAATGTTACTTCCCAGAGGACAAAAGAATCACCCCTGCAGTGATTGTGGGAGCAGCCAGTTCAGAAAACCCATCTTTTCTTCAACAAATGGCAGTGTGGCTGTATTGCAGTCTTCTTTTATAATCTTCAGTGAATACGGTAGGTTTCTGTCTGGTTTGCACGGAAATAGCATTCCATTTTTCCTAGTTATGGAACTATCAAAAGGGCCCCCTGCTGTTTCTCCTTGATTTCCATTTATGGTAGCGAGTTCCTTTATTTCTTTGGCCATAGGAAAGGTCCCCTGATTGATTGTAGACTGTCTGGTCTTTGAGGGAGTTATCTAGTGAATTGTTTTTCTGTGTCCTTGTCCTTTCATTACTGCTTCCAAAATGGTGGTAAGGTCTTGTGTTTGGCATCTACAACCATGTCCAGATCACGTTGGGAGAAGAAGGTGGCGTGGGGGGCAGAAGAAGTGAAGCTGCTACATTTTGAGGTAATGCCCCACTCAATTAGAAAACTTTCTCACGTGAAGGAACTGTCCTTAGTCTAGAAAAATGGCTCTTTAATAATTTTTTTTCACATTTCTGCTCTGTTGTGGAAAAAGACTAAGAAAATTCTCTGAAGTTTTTCAGAAGTTCTCCTGATAATTCAGTTGCATTCCTTTAAATCACACTAAATATTTTTGTTCTTTGTGGGGTTTGTTGTTGTTGTTGTTGTTTTGGTTTTTTTTTACAAAGGGTCAGATCCTTATCTGATGTAAACTGGTATAGTACCATTTACTTCACTAGAACTATATCAATTTATTAGCAGCTGAAGATCAGGTCTAAAATATTTTTCTTAATGCTATTTTAAGTCTCTTCTAAATCTCTTTATTTTATTTATACATTTGTAGAAATTACAGATTGTGTAATTAACTTCTGAAAATAAGTTGTTGTTTTTTAAAGTACAACCTATCAGACTGTCTCAAAAACACATATATAGTTAAGAACATAAGAATGGACATATTGGGTCAGACCAAAGGTCCATCCAGCCCAGTATTCAGTCTGACAGTGACCAGTTCCATGTGCCCCAGAGGGAGTGAACCTAACAGGTAATGATCAAGTGATCTCTCTCCTGCCATCCATCTCCACCCTCTGACAAACAGAGCCTAGGAACACCATTCCTTACCCATTCTGGCTAATAGCCATTAATGGACTTAGCCTCCATGAATTTATCCAGTTCTCTTTTAATCCCTGTTATAGTCCTAGCCTTCACAACCTCCTCCGGCAAGGAGTTGCACAGGTTGACTGTGCGCTGAGTGAAGAAGAACTTCCTTTGATTTGTTTTAAACCCGCTGCCCATTAATTTCATTTGGTGGCCCCTAGTTCTTATATTATGGGAACAAGTAAATAACTTTTCCTTATTCACTTTCTCCACACCACTCATGATTTTTTATACCTCTATCCTATCCCCCCTTAGTCTCCTCTTTTCCAGTCTGAAAAGTCCTAGCCTCTTTAATCTCTCCTCATATGGGACCCGTTCCAAACCCCTAATCATTTTAGTTGCCCTTTTCTGAACCTTTTCTAATGCCAGTATATCTTTTTTGAGATGAGGGGACCACATTTCTAGGCAGTATTCAAGATGTGGGCGTACCATGGATTTCTATAAGGGCAGTAAGATATTCCCCATCTTATTCTCTATCCCTTTTTTAATGATTCCTAACATCCTGTTTGCTTTTTTGATTGCCGCAGCACACTGCGTGGACATCTTCAGAGAATTATCCACGATGACTCCCAAGATCTTTCTCCTGACTAGTTGTAGCTAAATTAGCCCCCATCATATTGTGTGTGTATAGCTGGGGTTATTTTTTCCAATGAGCATTACTTTACATTTATCCACATTACATTCCATTTGCCATTTTGTTGCCCAATCACTTAGTTTTGTGAGATCTTTCTGAACTTCTTCACAGTCTGCTTTGGTCTTAACTATCTTGAGCAGTTTAGTATTGTCTGCAAACTTTGCCACCTCACTGTTTACCCCTTTCTCCAGACAATTTATGAATAAATTGGATAGGATTGGTGCTAGGACTGACTCTTGGGGAACACCACTAGTTACCTTCTCCATTCTGAAAATTTACCATTTATTCCTACCCTTTGTTCCCTTTCTTTTAATCCGTTCTCAGTCCACAAGAGGATCTTCCCTCTTATCCCATGACAACTTAATGTACGTAAGATTGAGGGACCTTTGTTGAGGGACCTTGTCAAAGTCTTTCTGGAAATCTAAGTACACTATGTCCACTGGATCCTCCGTGTCCACGTGTTTGTTGACCCCCTCAAAGAACTCTGATAGAATAATAAGACATGATCTCCCTTTACAGAAACCAGGCTGACTTTTGCGCAACAATTTATGTTCTTCTATGTGTCTGACAATTTTATTCTTTACTATTGTTTCAACTAATTTGCCTGGTACCAATGTTAGACTTACTAGTCTGTAATTGCCAGGATCACCTCTAGAGCCCTTTTTTAAATATTGGTATTACATTAGCTATCTTCCAGTCATTGGGTACAGCAGTTGATTTAAAGGACAGGTTACAAACCATAGTTAATAGTTCTGCAATTTCACATTTGAGTTCTTTTAGAACTCTTAGGTGAATGCCATCTGGTCCCAGTGACTTGTTACTGTTAAGTTTCTCAATTAATTCCAAGACCTCCTTCAATCTGTGACAATTCCTCAGATTCGTCACCTACAAAAGTTGGCTCAGGTTTGGGAATCTCCCTAACATCCTCAGATGTGAAGACTGAAGCAAAGAATTCATTTAGTTTCTCTGCGATGACTTTATCGTCTTTAAGTGCTCCTTTTGTATCTCGATTTCCTAACACTTTGGCAATGAGCTTTAACAATACATGATCTATTAATAATCACAAAATAAATATTTTTAAAATAGTGCAAATCATTCAGATAGGATGCTAATGCTTTCCCCTTTACTACTTTTGCAAATTGGCCATCATTTTATGTAACTAGGGCTACAGAAAATCCTTGGCCTAATCATAGTCCGAAACCAAAACCTTCTTGTCTTTAAACTATTATACATTTAGCAGGAAATACAGCATGCAGAAAATACAGCATGTTCTTAAAACAAGAAATACCTTTCTTTTGACTATGCTTACTTTATTTGCATCAGACTTGGGATGAAATCCTAGCTCCACTGAGGTCATGGGTTAAACTTCTGTTGACTTCATTTATCACTGAAAAGAATATTCCCTTTAGATTTCCAGACTTGACTCGAGATTTGTTTACCATCATTGCTGAAACAATGGCTGAGCATATGGTACCAGTAGCAAGGAATATTTAAAGATTACTTAATAGGAAATGAAAAAGTTTAGAAATAGTGACTAGGAGGATTAAATCCAGTAAATGAATTAAATAAACATGAAGCATTATCAGTTAGTCGATTTCCCTTTGATGTAAATAATACCTAAAATATAAATATTGCATGACTTCAAAAAATTTCCCAAAGTCTCAGGTTTTTTAGTTTATATTCTATTGCAGTCTTGTACTCCTGATAGTGATTTTATGCTGTCAACTTCTATTTGTGACTCAGCCATCTTATCATTGAAACCTTTGAGATTTAGCGACAGAATTGACATAGCATTCTAAATTAGATGTAATTTCACTTAACACTAACATTAAATCAGAATAATCAAATGTTATTTCCAGTGACTGAACTACATTAAATATAATAGAGAAATCTTAGAAGTACCAGTAGATTGATTTAGAGGAAATTTCATTTTCAACTGATTGTACAGCCTTGCTAACAGAAATATAGGTATATGAGTAAGGGACACTGATAAGAGCAAAAGGCTTCTTATCGCATATTCTCTAGTCTTCATTGTTTCTGGTAACTCAGAAGTTACAAATTTTTGCACCTCCTTCCTGACCTAGTTGCTGCTTCCACAAGGGAAGGTGAAAAGACACCTTTAAAAAGTCACAAAAATATTAATAGAAGATTAACATTGCCTGGGGGAGAAAAACAGGAGAAACTGTAGTTCAATAACTGTAGAAAGAACTGAAAAATTACAAAATGGCTGAAATGGGGGAAAGAGTCTGAAATCATAGATTATAACAAGCAGCAGAAAAAGTAAAAGAGTTTAACTTGGGAGCCTTGAGAGACTATCAACAGCAATATCAAGACACTAAATGGGACCATCCCTACCCAGCATCTGCTTAAGGTTAGGCTTCTCCTTAAGTGCTTTGCTGAGCAAGGATGTGCTTAAACACTCTGCTGAATTGGGGCCTTAACCCCTCCCTATGGTATTGGTGCCACTAAAGAGGCTTAGTCCTGGGACCCTCCGAGTGTAATAATCTGTTTTTCATGCAGGTATAGTATCTTTGAATGTGTATGCTGTATTTGCATATGAACGTTGGTTTGTTCCTGCTGGTACTGAGTGAGGAGTCTAAAGGGAAAGTTTCTGAAATAAGCCTAAAACTTCTTTTTTTAAAATGGCTAATACTTGTGATTCAGATCAAGTGCTTGAGAAATATTGTGTGTAACTTGACTGAGCAACGGCTAATGGGGAACATAATAATCCACAACTATGGAAGAGAATTAGTTAACTCCAGCAAGAGATAACAATGTATCTAGCATTATGTCTGAAGAGATCAATAAATGGTATGCTAAGGTAAAATTCTGAACAGGAGTCTAACTGTCAGAAGAGCTTTTCTGACAGATCTGCCGGACTGTTGAATTGTCAGCCAAAAGAAACCAACACATTTCACCACTTGGATCTTTAGAGCTAGACTGGACAAACGTACAGGAGGGAACAGTCCTACGTTGGGATTAAGATGAGCTGGATGGTGCGGTGGGGTCTCCTCTCTAACTTCTGTGACTCTATGAAGCAAAGACTGGAATGTTTGGGATGCAGTACTGTGTGTCCTGGACTCCTAGATACTATCCAACATCTCTGAATTCTAAACCTACTTGTTAACTTGGATCCTGTTTGGGGTATCAGATATTTTTCTATATCCATATATGAAGCATCTGATGTACAAAGGGACTCTCTCTTGACTCCTGTTTCAAACAGCAGTAGTCAAAGTGCACAACGGAACTTACTGTACCCAGTAGCAGTGTTCACGCAGCAGGTTGCTGCACAAAGCTGGTGAGCTGTTAGATTTACTCCCTGGCCTGCTGCTTGCTAAGTCTCCATGCAGACAAACACTAGTGATTTTGCTTCCATTTTTCTTTTTTTTCCACAGTATTCCCCAGAGTTCTTAAATTTTCAGAATTTACACTAATATTTGCTTTCCTGTTTCCTGGGGTTTGTTTGGTTTTTTTGGTGGAACTGTATTAGATAAGTAGCCAATATACAGCTTGCTAAAATGCAATAGATACAGCTTTTACACTTTTTAAGTTATGGATGTTTTCCAAACTCCTATCCCCATTCTTTTTCTTTCTCTTTGCATGCATGACATTTCTCTCTGTATAGTGTGTATACAGATCTTATTTATTACTTGTATGATGACTCAAGTTTGTGTGGTGCCTTAAATTTCACAGTCCCTTTTCTAAATTGCTTAGAATCTTAGCCTGTACAATGTAGTTGAAAGCTAGGGTGAGACCAAGTAGAGTCAGAACTGATTAGCAATGACAAGCAAGGGGAAGGAAATGGTTATAAGGAGGAGTGGGAGGCCTTAGCTTTGTTTCCTAGCTGTAAAATATTCTTCCATATTTACTTTGTGTCTTGTATATTTTATAATGTCTTTATATACTTGAATATAGTTTTTTTTTTCCAGGTTGAAATTGGAAGAGAGAAGAAAAGAGTTGGTTCAGAAACTTGAAGAAACTACAAAGTTAACTACTTATTTGTATTCGCAGCTTAAAAGGTAAGGCTGCATTTTACATTATGTTTTAACAAGAAAAAAATAAAGACCGGTTTTCAGCTGTGGTGCAGTAGAACTGAATATGTCTGAACTTCATTCTTAGATATTCTGCTAGCTGGAGACTGAAACAAGTTTGTTTGATAATTGTGGCAAGACACATAGGTGCAGTTGCTTCTAGCATTCTCTGTGCAAATCTGCTGTATCTATATAACTTTAGTAAGTGTACAAGAATGGATTTTTGCACGTTTTATAATTAAGCAGAGAGCAAAGCATCTTCTTGCTTAGATTAAAAAATGGTTGGCAACCATCTTTTAGTACATGAGATGTCTCCAAAAAACCCTTGTTCCTAATGAAAATCCTTGGGGATTTTTTTGAGTATGACTATATCTATAAGTTTGACTGCACGACCGTCAGCTTTTATTACCGACTGAGCCTCATTGCATGGACATCTTCATAAACATTAATGTAAACCGTTTGTTCTGGTTTTCTTTTTTTCAGTTAACTTATTTTTTCCAGAAATAAAATATTTGTTGCAATGATAATCACAGTGACATTTTCCCCTGTAATTCATTATTTTAAAGTCTGACTTTATGAAATTACATTATTGTTGTTAATTTTATAGTCATGACAGAGGGCTGCCTACTGTACAGAGGATTTAAAGACCCATTCACTGCCCTGACAGGATTATAATTTAAATACCTCATGTCACTGTTATAGGGATAGCATCCCCTTTGTGGTCCAGGAGTGCACCCCTTCAGACCTCATCTTTTACTATTGTGTGCTGTTGGTCAGGTCTATAGTAGATTAATAACATAAATGGTTGTTTGTCCTGTCTTTGCAGTCTCTCCGCCAGTACATTATCTGTCTCTTCAGGGAGCAGCCTGGGATCCCTGGCATCCAGTCGGGGGTCTCTGAACACATCCAGCAGGGGGTCACTAAACTCCCTCAGCTCCACGGATCTCTATTATAACCAAGGCGATCAAATAACAGACTTGGACTATCAGTATAAACTTGACTTCATATTGCAAGAAAAGAGTGGTTACATTCCTTCTGGGCCTATCACTACTATTCATGAAAATGAGGTGGTCAATTCCCATGGGAGATTGGGATACAGTGACTCTTCTGGATCTCTGGCAGTAGGCCACCCTCCAAAATTGACTGAGCCGCCCAAATCTGTGACATCACTGTCTTCAAGATCCTCCCTTTCTTCCTTGTCCCCTCCAGGGTCTCCTTTGGTTTTGGAAGGTGCATTTTCAGTGTCTGCCCAAGATTCCCCCCTGCACCACCTCATCACAGACTTTGAAGACTGTGAATTGCCTGGTGATTTTGCAGGTATCAGTCTCTGTGAGAATCAAATGTCATTGGACTCTGAAGCCAGAGCAAGCTCACAAGCTCTTACAGATGATAAAGATCGCAATGAAAGTGTTCGGCAGCCTTTGTCACCTTTACGTGAAGGAAATGCAGGTAAAGAAATAATTGTAATCTGAAACCTCTATGGAATGGATAAAAATTATTAACTAGGGTCCTGACTTTTAAGTATAGGTCTGCCTCTAATATGATCAATAACCGATTTGGACAGGCTACACCTGCGCTTGTGGGCAATCAGTAGATATTAGGAACAACATGTACATTTTTAAATTTAGGGTTCTGTCCTACAAAGTGTGGTGTCTGCAACTTAGATTGAAATCAATCCAATGAACTTTACAGGATGAGTGAGGTCTTTAGTAAGTAGTCAACTATCTTCTTTATTACCTTAGAATATAATTTGTTGTTGGTTTTCCAAAATAGTATCTCAGCATTGGTCGAACTCTTCTCCCATTGAAGTCAGCGGTACAACTCCCATTCAGTTAATTTAAACTGAAGACATTCAAATATTCTTTTTTGGTTAGTTAAATAACTGAGCTGTGCATATGTACTCTAAAAATGTCCAGGCTGAGCTATCCAGATACTTGATGTATTCATGCACTCTATGAGGATTTTTTACAAGCACCAAGATATATAATCTTCTTTGGTTCTTAGGCCCAGAAAGATGTGTTTTCTTTGAAAATTTGCCCAAGAAGGATGAAAACAACAGAAAACAGAGAGAGGCAATTAACATGCAGTTGCACTACTGAGCTAATTAATAGTTGGGATTCAGTAACCACTGTATTGGCTGTTTAGGGAATCCTGTACTAATATGCTTCTTTTCAGTTCTGTATGAAGAACTCTGCTTGTTTAAGTTTTACGGTGGAGAGAGATGTTCAGACCCTGATTTGGGGGAAGAGGAAAGGGGGAGTTGCTTTTGTGTACAGTATTGCACTGCCATCTTCTGGCCAAGATGTTAAGTTGCTGTCCAGCCTAGGTTTCTTTCTTATTGCTCTTGTTACTACGTACTCTGTGACTTACGAGAAGAGCTCATACACATCTAATTTTTCAAAAAACAGATTCTGAAATCTGGTTAGCATGGTCACTCTGACCTCATCAGGCTGTAGAACTCTGTACGGCACAGTGGTGATGATAGCCAAATTTGGTGGAACAATAATCCTTGTCAAAGGCTGACTTTTTCAAAGTTGAAAGTCTATGTGATGCATGATCCTCTACCATTTAGTTTCCAACATTTTTTTTAAAAAAGTCATTCTCGGGCAGTTGTGAGGAATAACAAGGAATCTGGGCACTACCTAAAGGGCACAAGAAGGTTGCATGAGCATCCTGTGGAACTGTAAGTGACTTCAGAATGAATACCTCAGTTCTCAATAACTAGCAGGTCAAAAGGCAGGAATCCTGAGTAGCAATAGAGCAGTGGCCAAATCTCTCATGCCCTGCCATAGCTATCCCTCCTTCTTCTTTGCAGTAATCCCACTAAGGGGAAGGAGGTGGGAGGAATCTATCCGACAGTAGTGGCAAAGTGAGTCTTTCTCTGATGCTTTTAGTTTGTAAGGCCCAAGGAAGGCGTTACTGTCTCCATTCTAGAATCAGCAAAAAATGTGCAGAGGAGATACCACTAAGGATGCCAACAAATGGAGGATTACATCAATATAGATGCAAAAAAACCCCAACAATTGTTGAATGTTGGAAGGATATTTTCCTCATTCAAGCTATGCAAAGAAGAAGCATCCATATAGATTTGCTGCATGCAATGTAAGAGAGACTTTCATTTGATTACAGTCTTCTGTCATAATATATATTTGTAATTCCCCTGTCAGTGAGATACCTAATGCCTCCTAAGTGACAGTCGTAACATTATTAAAATCCCAGTTGCCAAGATGTGACCAGTCATTACCAAATCTAAGGTGCTGGCTTTGTTGCAATTGTTGAGATGTATGTTGTGTTATGCCATCCCTGCACGTTTATTATAAGAACATAAAAATGGCCATACTGTGTCAGACCAAATGTCCATCCAGCCCAGTATTCTGTCTGACAGTGGCCAGTTCCATGTGCCCCAGAGGGAGTGAACCTAACAGGTAATGATCAAATGATCTCTCTCCTGCCATCCATCTCCACCCTCTTGCAAACAGAGCCTAGGAACACCATTCCGTACCCATCCTGGCTAATAGCCATTAATGGACTTAGCCTCCATGAATTTATCCAGTTCTCTTTTAATCCCTGTTATAGTCCTAGTCTTCACAACCTCCTCCGGCAAGGAGTTGCACAGGTTGACTGTGCGCTGAATGAAGAAGAACTTCCTTTGATTTGTTTTAAACCCGCTGCCCATTAATTTCATTTGGTGGCCCCTAGTTCTTATATTATGGGAACAAGTAAATAACTTTTCCTTATTCACTTTCTCCACACCACTCATGATTTTATATACCTCTATCCTATCCCCCCTTAGTCTCCTCTTTTCCAGTCTGAAAAGTCCTAGCCTCTTTAATTTCTCCTCATATGGGACCCGTTCCAAACCCCTAATCATTTTAGTTGGCCCTTTCTGTACCTTTTCTTATGCCAGTATATCTTTTTTGAGATGAGGGGACCACATTTCTAGGCAGTATTCAAGATGTGGGCGTACCATGGATTTCTATAAGGGCAATAAGATATTCTCCATCTTATTCTCTATCCCTTTTTTAATGATTCCTAACATCCCGTTTGCTTTTTTGACTGCCGCAGCACACTGCGTGGACATCTTCAGAGAACTATCCACGATGACTCCAAGATATTTCTCCTGACTAGTTGTAGCTAAATTAGCCCCCATCATTATTGTGTGTGTATAGTTGGGGTTATTTTTTCCAATGAGCATTACTTTACATTTATCCACCTTACATTCCATTTGCCATTTTGTTGCCCAATCACTTAGTTTTGTGAGATCTTTTTGAAGTTCTTCACAGTCTGCTTTGGTCTTAACTATCTTGAGTAGTTTAGTATCATCTGCAAACTTTGCCACCTCACTTCTGGCTTTTCTTATGGCACTCCTGGTTGGAGGAGTAATGGATTTATCTTTTCTCATACTATGTCCATTTTTCCATTGAGGAACTGAGGCACAGAGATTAAAGAGCCTAATTCTCAAAGTGCTGAGCCCCTGCTGCCCTATTTGAAGGCTGTGAGAGAACTGAGTTCTCAGCACTTCTAAAAATTGTGACTTGCCTTAGTTCATACAACGACTGTGTGGCAGAGCTAGGAACACAACCTAGATTCTCTTGAGTCCTAGGCCTTAATCACAAGATCATCTGTTATCTTTTTGAATCACCTGTAACAATTATTCCTCAGTATCTGTGGGTACATCCACACTTGGAGCTGGAGGTGTAATTTCCAGCTTGGGGTCATAGCTGTGGTGATGCACATGGGCAGTGGGGTAGATTAGCCGGCCTGAATGAAGTCCCACCCCAGACTCTAGTTGGACAGGTAGCCCCTTATGCCACCTAGGTCACCACAGCTACCCTGCTATTTTTAGCATGCTAGCTCAATCAAAGCTAATGCATGTGCATTTATTCTAATTGGAAATTACAGCTCCAGGTCAAAGTGTGGGCGGGCCCTGTGTGTCTTGTGTTACTTGGCTTTAGTTGTCCACAACACACTTTCCTTGGGAGAGGGTCCTCCCGTCCTTGCCTTTTAGACCAGAACAAGAGCAGTACCTTTAGATTTAGAGACTTGTGTGTCTTGCAGGCCCCATTGTGTGAGGGCACCTGCAGTCTGAGTCTCCTCTGAGCTGGAAGACAGCGTGCAATCTTTGAATGGGCAGCATTTTTCTCCTTAAAAACCAGTTTTATTAATGAAAAATATAGAAAAATAAATTATAGAAAAACAAACAAATTCCTCAGCATACCTAAGGTTTACATTGCCAAAAGTCTACCTAGGGAGGCTATGGTCAGTTGCATTCATATGCTTCCAAGAGATCAAATCCTTGTGTTGGACCGTCTTGTCTGGCACAACAGAATGTCTCGCCAGAAAGTGTATTTTATTTATTTATTTTATGTTAGGCTGCTTCTCTTTCCTTTAAATAAAAAAATCCTCCGCCTTTCCAGTGATGTCCAGGTAGGAAGAAATAAACACACACTCAATGTCCTTTGTGTACTGGGGATGTAATTTCCAGGACACACATCCTGCTTTCTGTCCAAGCAATTATAGTAGTCTGTGTGTGTGGATTTGCTCTAGTGATCAAAGGTGAAAAGTTGTTGTGTCGGAATTGCCATATTTCAGGGCTCTCACTACCCATTCAGTGTTGCAGGAGAAGATATTACCCTAATTGTTTGGCATTACCTGTTAACTCTTTCTCTTTTCCATGAATCCTCAAATACAGTTTCAGAAGTTAGTTACATAAATCCCATTTCATTACATATGTTGGGTCTATAAATGCTATTTTCATACTATTCTTCATCTCCCAGCTGCAGAGTTATTGTGAACCAAAATAATGATGTAAATTTTTCAATAATTTGTTTCAGAGGAACAGCCGTGTTAGTCTGTATTCGCAAAAAGAAAAGGAGTACTTGTGGCACCTTAGAGACTAACCAATTTATTTGAGCATGAGCTTTCGTGAGCTACAGCTCACTTCACTGATGAAGTGAGCTGTAGCTCACGAAAGCTCATGCTCAAATAAATTGGTTAGTCTCTAAGGTGCCACAAGTACTCCTTTTCTTTTTTCAATAATTTGTGTTTTTCTAAAAGAACATGTAGCCAACATGGTGATCCAGTTGATTCTTAATTAAGCATTTCAGGTCTACATTGTCATTTAATTGCCTGACATAGGTATTTGAGCATCTAAGTACTAATTTGATTGTGTAGGTGCATAATGTGGGGGTGCCCAATTTATATGCCCAACTGTGAAAATTGGGGCCACAGACTCAGTCATTTGTGGCTAGAATTTACCAGCAAGGAGCACCTGGAAAAAACAGCCCCCAAAAAGGTAAATTTTAAAGGAAAGCTAGAATTAAAATATCTGAATATTAAATGAATATATTGCAGCATCTTTTTTAGTGGTTTTATCATGCTAAGTGTTTCAATACTTTCCAGTTCATAGCATGGGGAGCCATCAGGGATTGCATGAGGCACTTGGGACTTCCTTTTGTCTCCTTCAGTTATGCACAGAAAGAGATATCAGAAGTTGACTAAGGACTTGTCTACCCAGAGAAATAGCTATTGCAGAATTAGTGGACTAAGCTAAGGGTGCCCACATAGGGAGCTAGTACAGTACTTGCTTTATGGCGCTTTAAACTCGCACCCTGGCTTTTTTTTGCGACAGTTTTCCTGTGTAGACACGCTCTAAAGCACAAGTGTTCTGAATCTGTGAAGTGCAAAATTAGAGCTTTACTTTACCTTTACTTCTTGCTGTTCTTTTGTCTTTTCAGTGTAATGGAATTTAGTGTTTTGTCTGCTTTAGAAGCCTCACAGAATCTGATATAAGATGCTGGGGGAATGATTCAATTCAGTTCTTCAGTGGCCAGTTGAGTCACAACCAGTTTTCAAAAAATACAACTTAGTTTCAACAACTAACTTTATTCTATTTTCGATACTCTAGCTGTTCACAATGTCCAAGTGGGCAGGACGAATAAAGAGACAGATGTGAAAGGGAGGCATACAGTGGCCAATGAGAAATCCAGGTCCCTGGTTTTGCTGATTTGAAGGAATATAGCTTTAAATGTTTTGAAGGGATGATACAGAGAAGAGAGGTATAGGTCAGCAAAAAAAGCCCTAAATTGTAGCTCTCGTTCTTGACAGTGCCACTGTATCTTTAATTCTAAAAGCACTTATATTTTTTAAAAAGCTATAAATAGAGTTAATCCTTATGCTGAGATTTCCTATTATTAATATATGTAGTGCCGTGTGTGTATAAATATAAAACACAAAAAAATTAAAAAGCCTACATTAAAAGTACATTAAGGTTGCAAAGTCAAGAACTCAAAAGTTAGGAAATGCAAAAAACAATTTAACCCCACCCCTTTGTAAGCCTGCATTATGATAGTCTAGTCTTTCATTACATGATACGTACAATTTTTTCCACAGGACCCCTGCCTCATTCAGTGCGCAGGATGAATGGTGCTCAGGGAGTGCATCGGGTTGTGTAATGAATGAGGCTGTTTTCTGTAGGACACTTGCAGCTGGCAGGAGCAATTGTAGGAAGCATTCTGCTTAGCCCTGGGATGGAGCATGTTAAGTAGCTATGTGGATGGTGCATGCATAGTCTGATCAACTGCTAGGCATCTAGGGCATAGAGCTTGCTCAGTGCAGGTGGAATAGTCTGAGGCCAGGTCTAAAGTAAAACTTACATTGGTATAACCCTGTTGCTCAGGGGTGTGAAAAATACACACACACACACACACACACACGTGCATGCCCCCCCCCCCCCCAAGCAATGCACTTCTACTGACCTAACCATGGGTTTGAACAGCATTGTGTCGACAGGAGAAGGCCTCCCATCGACGTAGCTACTGTTTCTCATGGAGTTGGATTAATTATGTCAATGGGAAAACTCCCATCGGTGCTGCAGCATTTTAAGGATAGACCTGACTTGACAATTTAGCTGCCAAATTTTAAAAAGCTTTTATGGGTCATGTGCAAACTGCAGGTTTTTTTTTTAATCGGCTTATAATTTGGTCTAATTTATGTGGATTTTCACAAAGCAGCAAAAGGCACATGCCTGACACCAGGGCACTCACCCTACACCACACCAAATTCAAGTTCATGCACCAAAGCGTCAGAGTGTTAGAGCGCCTCAGTGAAATGGTTATAAGAGTTCTTTGAATGTGGGCAAAACCTGGTTTTCCCTAATCTCGCTCTTGGAAATGGCTGTCCTGTTTTAGCTGAAACTTTCAAAAAATAATTCAGTCTCCGGCAGACCTCTTGCATGGAAAATGTCAGCCGGGATGGTTAAAGTTTGGCAAAGTATTATAAGCAGCTAAAAACAAGGTTCGGTAATGGGAAGCAGATAAATTTAACTACAGGTGGTGCTTCCAGTGCCACCTATTACAGTACAAAACTCCCCGGCAGATAAAGTGCCTCTGTACTTGACTCTTGTAGGCACTTCTGTGTGTAGGGGAAGTACATATAGATTTACTGTTCTGTACAGATCCCTGCCGGCAGCAACCATGAAGTTCTTCCACAGTCAGTCTCTGTCATTGTCAAAGTCAATTGCAGGCTTCTGTAGTTATTCCTGGGGGTAATCAATAAATCGTGTCATCACCTTCATCCCTCGCATGAGTCGAGGGGGGAGCACTTTATCATCAAGGAAAAAGCATCCGTACTGCTACAAATAAAAGCAGAAATGTAGCAATCAGTCCTCTAATCAGAAGCCTTAAAATTTTAACATCTTAACAAGATGTAAAGTCATGACTCAGGAGGTGTGCATAACACATACCAATATCCTCACTCCTTTGCAAATTAAAAAACAAACTCACTCCATAGGCCTGCAACTTACTGCATGGTAAAATGATGCTTTCAATGAATGCTGTGTGTTCGTTGCAGGACACTAGCATATGAATATTACTTGGAGGTTAAAATTAAGTAGTAGCTGGTGCTAAAGGTTCTCTAGCGTAAAAAGTTTTTGATGATAGTGTTAGGCATTCCTTTGCTAAACCAAACGGGAGTTTGCATTCTTAGGAGGGAAATCCTGAAGCTTCTATATCACTTCTATATTTTTAATAAAGCGTAGTTGTCAGGACTGGTTTTGTGTGCTGCTGAAATGTTATTACAGTGAGAATTTAAAATTGGAAATGTAGGTTCAAAGCTCAAGATAAAGATGAATAAGGGTGAGAGAAGCTTGTGATTGGAAAGGGAATAATAGTCATACATTTTCAAGCTCATCAGTTGAGATATGTAAACCCCTAACTAGAATATGCGACAATAGTAATACATCCTCTATCTGTTCAGTGGCGTGGAACAGAATTACTCCATGAAATTGAGCTACAGGTCATCACTTTCAACTTGGCAGTGTTCTAAGCTGTGCAGGTACCTTGCTGATAATTGTCTAGAACTAATGTTTATTCTTCCTCCCTTGCTTAGGTGTCAACTTACCAAGAAGAGCGGTAAGTCAGCTGCTTGAGGAGAAAGCAACTTGTGTATCTGCTGCAGTGTCTGATGAGTCTGTGGCTGGAGACAGTGGTGTATATGAAGCTTCTGTAAAACAGTAGGTTTAAGAAACTGTGTGACTTTTTGACTGAAATTAGTGCACTTTGGTCCCAGGAGATTATATCTGTCCTGCCCATCCACCCATTTGCAGCTTAATTTATAAAGAAAAGTATATTAACAAAATATTTACTTTTTTATAAACTAGGAAACATGCACATTATAGTGGACTACCAGTGCTACTATAGTTAAGGTTTAGATTTAAATTGTTTTAGGCACCTTAATTTGGCCATGTTGCTCTAATATAATGTTTTCTATTCCGATTTCTCTTGCTAAAAGTATGTCCTAGGCAGAAATGTAATATGTAAACTATAGGTTTCTTAGAACAATAAACAAACTTTAGCACAGATAATAGAATTTTAAGAATATTACAAACAAAAACAAACTAAAGGGAGTCTCTAGGATCTTCTGTGTTCACCTCAACTTTTGCGTGTACCTGATATTAAGAGATCTGGGAAGAGAGGTTTGAGAACTTCAGGATGCGTGTGTTAATGAGATGCTTACCTAATATCCCTCTTTCAAATGTTCCAGCAGCAGCCACAATAACCTTCCTTGCTGGGCAAATGAAGGTACATTATGGCAGAGGTTCTCAACCTTTTTCTTTGACCCCTGGTTGAGAACCACTGCATTATGGTATCGTAGAGGGAGTGGGCCTTCATTAAGTTCTGGTAAAACTTTTAGTAGGTTCAAAATTTCTCAAATTAAAAAGACAAAACAAAACCATTCAGATGAAACCTAGCATAGAAGGTCTTGTGAGATTTCTACCATTCTGAGCTAAAAGCTTACCAGAACATCTCAGGAGCATCCACTCAGTCCTGTCCTAAAGCTGTGGATCTGTACTTCAGCCTGAACTCTAAGGTCTAACCTAAGCCTGTTCCTCATCAGATCTTATCACTACTTCCTTGGTCCCTCTCTAATGTAAGGTTTGGGTGGAATTAGACTTACACAGGTAATTCTTAGCTTGTGCATAAAGTAGTGCTGTCGATTAATCGCAGTTAACTCACATGATTAACTCACGTGATTAACTCAAAAAAATTAATTGTGATTAAAAAAATTAATTGCAATTAATCACAGTTTTAATCACACTGTTAAACAATAGAATACCAATTTACATTTATTAAATATTTTTGGATGTTCTACATTTTCAAATATATTACTTTTGATTACAAATATTTGCACTGTAAAAATGGCAAACAAAAGAAATAGTATTTTTCAATTCACCTCATACAAGTACTGTGGTGCAATCTTTGTCGTGAAAATGCAACTTACAAATGTAAATTTTTTTATTTTTTTTTTAACTTAACTGCACTCCACAACAAAACAATGTAAAACATTAAAGCCTACAGAGGGGAGATAATGTTACACCAATAAAATAAAAACCAGCAGGAGCTTATGAAAGGGGATAAGGCAAAATGCCACATTTATTGTGAATACAGAAAGAATCATAGTAAGCAGTTAGTTATAGCTATAACATTCCATTCAATTTATATTTATTTCACACATTCATTCATACACTCACGCAGGTTCTGCAAGGTTGTTATCATAGTTACCGGCCTTAGAGTTGCTCGTGCCAAGCCACTGGCCAGGTGGCCTGGACACGAGGAGGGAGCAGGGCCTTGTCAGATGCACATCTGATGCTCCTGGAAGGTGATTTGCAGAATCAGACCCCAAAGTTCTCAGTTTTTAGAGTCCATTTTTATAGGAATTTATTCCTATGCCAGTCTATGGGAATTGCTTCATCATGCTGTTACTAAGTCAGTCAGCAGATGGCACATTCCTGATGGCTCCGTACTGCCAGATGTTATCTTGTTCTTTGGTTCTCCCATCCTTGAGGCTGTTGGGTGGATTCCAGTCTGCCCTCTGGGAGTCCTCTGGTTGTTTCCAATTGACACCTTCAGCCAATCAACACTGGATTCTTAGGCTGGCACCTCCCTGATCATTCATTTATTATCCACACCAAGCATCCATCCACGTACATCCTCTATCTCTATTTTAATCGCAATTGTTAACAAAGCGAGATAAATACAACAAAAGGGCAGGGAGTCTGTGTGTGCTGTTTCTGTTACAAAGTATGGCTTTGAGAACAGACTCTGTCTTAGGATGCACTAATGCAATTAGCAGAGGGAGAGAAACAGTAAAAACAAGAGACCAAAAACCAAGAGACCTCTTAATTAGTAATACCCTGGAATTTAAACTATGGGGAATCAAACTCATTTGTGATTTTAATACAGAACTTCTTTAATATGATCCAACAATAATGCTCCCCGCTTCTTATTTACAATGTCTCCTAAAAGTGAGAACAGGTGTTTGCATGGCATTGTTGTAGCCAGTGTCACAAGATATTTATGTGCCAGATATGCTAAAGATTCATATGTCCCTTCATGCTTCAACCACCATTCCAGAGGACGTGCTTCCATTCTGATGATGCTTGTTAAAAAAAATGTGTTTGAACTCCTTGGAGGAGAATTGTATGTCTCCTGCTCCATGGTTTTACCTGCACTCTGCCATATATTTTGTGTTATGGTAGTCTTGGATGACAACCCAGCATAAGTTGTTTGATTTAAGAATACTTTCACTGCAGATTTGACAAAACACAAAGACGGTTCCAATATCAGATTTCTAAAGATAGCTACAGCACTCGACCCGAGGTTTAAGAATCTGAAGTGCCTTCCAATATCTGACAGGGATGAGATGTGCAGCATGCTTTCAGAAGTCTTAAAAGAGCAACACTCTGATGCAGAAACTACAGAACCCAAACCATCAAAAAAGAGGATCAACCTTCTGCTAGTGGTATCTGATTCAGATAATGAAAATGAACATGCATCGATCCACACTCTGGCTCTCGATTGTTATCGAGCAGAACCCATCATCGACATGGATGCATGTCTTCTGGAATGGTAGTTGAAGCAGGAAGGGACCTATGAATCTTTAGCATATCATAAATATCTTGCGAATCTGGCTACAACAATGCCATGCAAACGCCTGTACTCATTTTCAGGTGACATTGTAAACAAGAAACAGGCAGCATTATCTCCTGCAAATGTAAACAAGCTTGTTTGTCTGAGTGATTGGCTGAACAAGAAGTAGGACTGAGTGGACTTGTAGGTTCTAAAGTTTTACGTTGTTTTGTTTTTGAATGCAGTTTTTTTTGTACATAATTCTACATTTGTAAGTTCAACTTTCATGATAAAGAGATTGCACTTGTATTAGGTGAATTGAAATATACTATTTCTTTTGTTTTTTTCCGTGCAAATATTTGGAAAAAAAAATATAAAGTGAGCACTGTACACTTTGTATTCTGTGTTGTAATTGAAATCAATATATTTGAAAATGTAGAAAACACCCAAAAATATTTGAATAAATGTATTCTATTTTTGTTTTCAGAGAATCATAGAATATCAGGGTTGGAAGGGACCTCAGGAGGTCATCTAGTCCAACCCCCTGCTCAAAAGCAGGACCAATCCCCAACTAAATCATCCCAGCCAGGCCTTTGTCAAGCCTCACCTTAAAAACTTCTAAGGAAGAAGATTCCACCACCTCCCTAGGCAACGCATTCCAGTGTTTCACCACCCTCCTAGTGAAAAAGTTTTTCCTAATATCCAACCTAAACCTCCCCCACTGCAACTTGAGACCATTACTCCTTGTCCTGTCCTCTTCCACCACTGAGAATAGTCTAGAACCATCCTCTTTGGAACTACCTCTCAGGTAGTTGAAAGCAGCTATCAAATCCCCTCTCATTCTTCTCTTCTGCAGACTAAACAATCCCAGCTCCCTCAGCCTCTCCTTATAAGTCATGTGTTCCAGACCCCTAATCATTTTTGTTGCCCTTCGCTGGACTCTCTCCAATTTTTCCACATCCTTCTTGTAGTGTGGGGCCCAAAACTGGACACAGTACTCCAGATGAGGCCTCACCAATGTCGAATAGAGGGGGACGATCACGTCCCTCGATCTGCTCGCTATGCCCCTACTTATACATCCCAAAATGCCATTGGCCTTTTGGCAACAAGGGCACACTGCTGGCTCATATCCAGCTTCTCGTCCACTGTCACCCCTAGGTCCTTTTCCACAGAACTGCTGCCTAACCGTTCGGTCGCTAGTCTGTAGCTGTGCATTGGGTTCTTCCGTCCTAAGTGCAGGACCCTGCACTTATCCTTATTGAACCTCATCAGATTTCTTTTGGCCCAATCCTCCAATTTGTCTAGGTCCCTCTGTATCCTATCCTTGCCCTCCAGCGTATCTACCACTCCTCCCAGTTTAGTATCATCCGCAAATTTGCTGAGAGTGCAATCCACACCATCCTCCAGATCATTTATGAAGATATTGAACAAAACCGGCCCCAGGACCGACCCCTGGGGCACTCCACTTGACACCGGCTGCCAACTAGACATGGAGCCATTGATCACTACCCGTTGAGCCCGACAATCTATCCGACAAGTCATCCAGGACTTCCCCCGTTCGCCACGAGTTTTCAATGATAATGGCCAATGGCTCTGCAATCACAGCCGCCAATTCCTTTAGCACTCTTGGATGCGACTCGTCTGGCCCCAGGGACTTGTGCACGTCCAGCTTTTCTAAAAGTCCCTAACCACCTCTTTCTCCACAGAGGGCTGGCCATCTATTCCCCATGTTGTGATGCCCAGCGCAGTAGTCTGGGAGCTGACCTTGTTAGTGAAGACAGAGGCAAAAAAAGCATTGAGTACATTAGCTTTTTCCACATCCTCTGTCACTAGGTTGCCTCCCTCATTCATTAAGGGGCCCACACTTTCCTTGGCTTTCTTCTTGTTGCCAACATACCTGAAGAAACCCTTCTTGTTACTCTTGACATCTCTCGCTAGCTGCAGCTCCAGGTGCGATTTGGCCCTCCTGATTTCATTCCTACATGCCCGAGCAATATTTTTATACTCTTCCCTGGTCATATGTCCAACCTTCCACTTCTTGTAAGCTTCTTTTTTATGTTTAAGATCCGCTAGGATTTCACCGTTAAGCCAAGCTGATCGCCTGCCATATTTACTATTCTTTCGACACATCGGGATGGTTTGTCCCTGTAACCTCAACAGGGATTCCTTGAAATACTGCCAGCTCTCCTGGACTCCTTTCCCCTTCATGTTAGTCCCCCAGGGGATCCTACCCATCTGTTCCCTGAGGGAGTTGAAGTCTGCTTTCCTGAAGTCCAGGGTCCGTATCCTGCTGCTTACCTTTCTTCCCTGTGTCAGGATCCTGAACTCAACCAACTCATGGTCACTGCCTCCCAGATTCCCACCCACTTTTGCTTCCCCCACTAATTCTTCCCGGTTTGTGAGCAGCTGGTCAAGAAAAGCTCCCCCCCTAGTTGGCTCCTCTAGCACTTGCACAAGGAAATTGTCCCCTACGCTTTCTAAAAACTTCCTGGATTGTCTATGCACCGCTGTATTGCTCTCCCAGCAGATATCAGGAAAATTAAAGTCACCCATGAGAACCAGGGCGTGCGATCTAGTAGCTTCTGTGAGCTGCCGGAAGAAAGCCTCATCTACCTCATCCCCCTGGTCCGGTGGTCTATAGCAGACTCCCACCACTACATCACTCTTGTTGCTCACACTTCTAAACTTAATCCAGAGACACTCAGGTTTTTCTGCAGTTTCGTACCGGAGCTCTGAGCAGTCATACTGCTCCCTTACATACAGTGCTACTCCCCCACCTTTTCTGCCCTGCCTGTCCTTCCTGAACAGTTTATAACCATCCATGACAGTACTCCAGTCATGTGAGTTATCCCACCAAGTCTCTGTTATTCCAATCACGTCATAATTCCTTGACATCACCAGGACCTCCAGTTCTCCCTGCTTGTTTCCAAGGCTTTGTGCATTCGTATATAAGCACTTGAGATAACCTGCTGATTGCCCCTCATTCTCAGTATGAGGCAGGAGCCCTCCCCTCACAGACATTCCTGCCTGTGCTTCCTCCCGGTATCCCGCTTTCCCACTTACCTCAGGGCTTTGGTCTCCTTCCCCCGATGAACCTAGTTTAAAGCCCTCCTCACTAGGTTAGCCAGCCTGCTCGCAAAGATGCTCTTCCCTCTCTTCGTAAGGTGGAGCCTGTCTCTGCCCAGCACTCCTCCTTCATGGAACACCATCCCATGGTCAAAGAATTGAAAGCCTTCTCTCCGACACCACCTGCGTAGCCATTCGTTGACTTCCACGATTCGACGGTCCCTACCCAGGCCTTTTCCTTCCACGGGGAGGATGGACGAGAACACCACTTGCGCCTCAAACTCCTTTATCCTTCTTCCCAGAGCCACGTAGTCCGTTTTACAGCACGATTAATCATGCAATTAATTGCGATTAATTTTTTTATCGCGATTAAGTTTTTTTTATTGCTTGACAGCCCTAGATTAAAGTCATGTGCAGTGATTTGTGCTGCTGCATGTGGCGGTCATGAAGACTGTCTGTTGGATCTCAGTCCATCTTGGTCACAAGAGGACACCTCATGCTGCTTGTCACAATTGCAGCAAGCAGAATATGAATAGGTAGGATATATGGAGATCTTTCCTGTCCCTCCAAAAAGCTAAGAATGGTGGGGTAGATGGAAGAGAGAAGAAATCCCCTTCCTATCTACTATTCACCAGGAGATGGTGGAAGGAAAGAGGAGAGAGACTTCCTTTGTTTCCAGCAACAAAAGGTGGGGAGAAAGAGTGGGTGTTTTCTCTCTTTTGCTTGCAATCAAGAAGTGATTGGGCAGCTATGAGAAGAGAGAGCTATAAACGTAGATTGGAGTCCCAATCACAAAATAATCATGGCATGATGTCTTGACACTATATTGACTGTGTGCATTGTTCTTTGCATCAGTAAGTGATGTATTTGGCCTGTGTTATCCAGAAGATTAGACTAGATAGTCACAATGGTCACTCCTGGCCTTAAAATCAATGAATCTTGTTAATGCCATGTCCTTCCTCAAACAACCAATCAATTTCCAGTGGCTGGTTTTAAAACCTATGCTGTTGCAGTACAAACACTGAAATTTTCAGTTGTGCTACAGATAAGTGATTCAATTAAATCTGTCTGTTGGGAGGCTTATGGGGTTTTTTTTGTATTCTTCTATGATAATTGAAAGTTAACTATGATTTTCTCACCCTTGTATCCAATTATTTACTTACCTGATCTAGACCAAATGAAACTGAAGATGCTGTATATAGTGAAGATGACACAACGATTCTAGAGGCTGCCCAAGTGCAAATAGGACTTAGGTAAGTAATAAGCAAATGGGAAACATCTGTTCATATTTAGGGAATCTTGTGGCAAAACTGCCTCACATTGTCTTCTTATCTTAACAGATATGACCGAAGCAGTTCAAGTTTTGTGGTAATTGTAATGCAGCTCAGAAATCTTCATGCCTTCTCTGTCCCCTTTGGTTCCAGAGTGTAAGTAAAATAATCATTGAGTAGTAATGCTGAAGTGTACATTGCACGATTTCTGTGATTATGCTTTACTCATTCCTTTTGGAAGGTACTGTAGCTTTAAATACTGTATAATTATAAGTTATAGTTTTTAAAAAATAGTAGGTAAAAAATCATTGTTACTATAATCTTTCCAACAATCTCTCAGAAGGTTGTGTATATATGTGGTCTTACGTGTGTATAAAATTTTAAATAATTTTAAAATAGTGTATACTAGTTTTAAACAAGGGCCTGTCATAAGTTTAAGGGGCAATTTCATAAACTCTAAGTGGCTCAGCAAAAATGCTAGACACATCACCTCTAACAAGTGATGTTTGAGGGCCTCTCAAAAATTAGACTCTGTGTTGTGCTGTATAGACAGCAGACATATCAAAACAATAAAAGGGGAAAACAGGTTGATGAAAATATTGAAAAATGGCTGATGTAGGAAGTAATGAAAGAAACAAGAGGGAGTGTTCTTAGTGAACATAAGAATGGCCATACTGGGTCAGACTAGTGGTCCATCTAGCCTAGTATCCTGTCTTCTGACAGTGGCTGATGCCAGATGCTCCAGAGGGAATGAAGAAAACAGGGCAGTTATCATGTGATCCATTCCCTGTCATTCAGTCCCAGCTTCTGGCAGTCAGAGATTTAGGGACATGGGATTGCATCCCTGACCATCTTGGCTAACAGCCACTGATGGACCTTACGGTGATTAGAGTAGGAAACTGGGATTAAAGATCTCTGAGTTCTACACCTAGATCTGTAAATTAACTTGCTGTGTGGCTTTGGGCAAACAACTGCTTAAATTTTCCAGGCTGTAAAATAGGTACAGTAATATTTGAGTATCTCAACAGGCTGTTACCGAGGCTTAATATGATTAGAGGTAGGATGGAGCCAGTCCATGGAGAGATGGTATTTTTAAGGCTATTTTGAACTGGGTTCATTGACCAATAGGAAGCCAGTGAACATGAAGGATGTGTGTGACACAATCTTGTTTTCTGGAGTTAATAGTTTTGTGTGTCTCTCACTATTATACCCCCCTAAAATTTATAGTGCAGGAATTTAGAAAGACCGTGAAAATGGAAAGTTGAGATGAGATATGGCTAATATAAGCATGAAGAAGGCTGTCAAAGTTAGAGCGTTAAAGATCAAGTGGAGTACAAATATTAGCAATGGTCTGAAAATATAGTAAGAAAAACAAGTTGATTCCCAATATTTTTGGCCTTGGGACGAAAGTAGATGGTTGAAGTCAGAGATCTGGGACAAAGAATTTTTTACTCCACAAAAAGGACTCAAAGGTATACTGTTAATTTCAAAAACATGAGCTGCTTTCTTCTGATATAAAGCCATAGCTGTTAGAAGTGAAAGAATTTTTAAAATCCAGTGTACTTGTCTGTATTTGTAAGCTGTTTACATTTTTCTTAGCTTGTACAATGACAATCAATGAAGTCCGTTTCACTTTTGTTCACTTAGTACTGCCATCTTTGAAACATGCAGGAGAATGAACATTTGTGGAAAAAACACCTGTTTTCATTGATCCCTTATTAAAAAAAAAATAATTGTGTTGTGCTGTTGATGGTAGGTTTTATGAAACCTTGTTTTCACAATTTGGAATTTAAGACATTCAGTTGTCAGTGTCTTTCAGAGTATTCAGCAGTGGAAAGCTTATGCTCAAATAAATTGGTTAGTCTCTAAGGTGCCACAAGTACTCCTTTTCTTTTTGCGAATACAGACTAACACGACTGCTACTCTGAAACCTGACATAGCTGTGACCTGATACAGTCAATAAAAGCAGATACTTGGGAGTCGTAGTTAGAGGACTTCAGTATAGAAGAGAAGTCCAAGATGGTTGATAATGAGGTGAAAATGAAGCTAGCTAAAGTGAGAAGGTGCATAAAAGAGGGTTAAGGAAAGATCCTTGGAACACTTGATGCATATGTAAAGGCAGGATTCAAATATGGAAACCACACGATTGGCCAGGGTGTTCAATAGGAGTACAGAGACTCTTGAATTTAGGCTACCATATACACGTGGGAGTAGGGGTGTGATTATTAAATACTAGCATAATCTTAATCTCCTTCAAGTACTGCTTCTCATCTTTCCTAGCTGTTTTCTTTCTCTTTTACTAGTTTTCCATTTTTCCTTTTTCTCAGAAATATGAGGTACAATGCATTTCACCATGTGACTGAATTCATTTCTAAGTGTTTAACTTTTCTCTCTCAATTTTCCAACTCTCTCTGTTCCAAAAGGATCTTTCAACTTCCTAGGATTTCTTGTTTCCATTAGGATAATGTATCCCACTGTCTGTGACGTGATCTTCAGCGTGTCTCACTTAATACTAAAGCAAAGGATTCATTTGGATAGAGTCAGCAATGCCTACCTCATCTGTCACTACCTTCCCAAGGCACAGAAATAACTTTTGGGGAAATGGCTGTGCAAGGGACAGGTGGGAAGTTAAACTTATCAGCCCCTTCTTTCTCCTTCCTCCCAACTGAATTGTTGCCTGTCCATTTCCCTGGCATGCACTTTTCCTTCAAACCTTGTGGTCAGTTTCCCTCCACAGTGGAAGGCTGGCTGCAGTGATTCACTTTTCCCCTCAGCAGCTGGCACATGATAAGCATAGTGCACATGCAGCTGAGCACGAGACAATTACAGGGGTAAAATGTTAAGCCATTCATTTTGGATTTAGTGAATGATCTTAAATTGTAATTGTGCTTGTACAGTAGGTGCTATTTGCTACACATGTACATCATTTTATTTTGCTCCCTTCAGTTATTTTAGGGTAGCAGTACTTCCATCTTCAGTTGATATCAGCTGTCTATTCCGCACTAAAGTCCATCCTGCTATGGAAACCATTTTATTCAATGAGATATTCAGAGTAGCCATTTCCCAAGACGCTTTGCAGCAGAAGACGTTACGTGTAGATGTCTGTTCTGTCAGTAAAATTCGACGGGAAGAATGCCTGGTATGCATTTTTTTTATTAGCTTGCTTGGCATGCATTTGTTTGTTTTATTCCCCACTGATGAATATGGGTTCTAGAATTCTGCAACGCTCGCAGAAGAATTCAGTACCACATCTGAGTTGTCTTAATAGCACTGATGATTAAATTTCTCTGCAATTCCACATGTATACAATACAGTGTTGGATGGAGACCGTTTTAAAAGCTCTATCTTGCCATGATATTTCACAGTGACAGTTGATGTGTAGCACACAGATGTAGATCATGAGTAATTTCATCTAAACTTCATGCAAGTCAGAGTAGAATTGGGTCTCCAAAGTGTAAAATACAATATGTAAAACAAAGTGATGTGAACTTGTGTTGTAACAAAACACTGCCTGGAATGCAAATCTTTTGTACAACACTGTAGATTGCATTAAGCTACATGTTTTGAGACTAGTATACTTCATTGTAATAATATGTGACATTAACAATCTAGGATACTGTAGACTGTGACATTATCCATTTATTCTGGCTTCTGACATCATTAACTGTGTCATCATCACATAACTAATAACTTGCTTCCATTTACCATTAAGCTTACCATCATGTGAAAAAGACAAAAGGAAATTTCCCTTCCAGGATACTGTCATGGGGAGAGATAATTGGTTTATTTTAAAGTCTTTCCATATTTTGTATTTGTTATCACTGTCATCACATATTGTTGCCCAGCGGCAGTGGTGATGCATATGAGGCACATTGATTAATAATCAAGGACTCTTTAAAATATAAACTGCGAACCATGAACAATGCCTATAGCTCTGAGGAGGAGTCCAAGGAGCCAGTGAACACTGCCCAGAGGAACTCTGCACAGGTATATGAGACAAATAAGGTCCACAAGTAGGCCCCACATTTGTAAAGAACCTCCCCTCAAGCTTCCTCCTCCTGGACCGATGGATGGTTATCTTGGCCAGCGGCAGGAGCTTGATGAGGTGGCCAGCAACTTTGTGGAGTTATAGTCGGGGACTGCGTACAGGCGAGTCGCATCTTAAGCGGGGGTTAGTTTCTAAAGTCGGCGTGTAAGGCGAAAATCGCATATAGTCAAAATTGCCCTTGAAAATCCCTTAAATAGCCCATAAAGTATACTGTACATGGTTTTGTGTATACTGCACAACCCTGTACAGCAGGGGTTGGCAACCTGCGGCACGCGTGCTGATTTTTGGTGGCACTCTGCTGCCAGCCGGGGTCCCAGTCGCCGGCGCCGCTCAGCCCGCTGCCAGTCTGGGGTTCCAGCCACTGGCCCCTTTAAATGTAAAATGTATTATTGGCATGCCAAACCTTAAATTAATGAAGACTTGGCACGCCACTTCTCAAAGGTTGCCAACCCCTGCACTAGAATCCACTCAGCGCAGCAAGATGCTCACACACCGGATTGGCAGGCAGCGATCAATCCAGCGGGGATTGACTTATAGCGTCTAGCCTAGGCGCAGTAAATCGACCCCTGAGCGCTCTCCCGTCGACTCCTGTACTCCACTACCACGAGTGGCAAGTGGGAACTGAGACCGACTGAGGGAACAGCAGATTCCCATCTCACGTCTCCCATCTCACGCTCGCTCCAGGGCATACACTCATTGAGTGGAATGGTGGGCAGAATTGTTATTTTTCTTTTTCATTCATTTTTCTTTTTTTTGCCAGGCACATATAGTTGAATTCGCGTAAGTTAAATGCGTGTATGATGCAACTCGCCTGTACAGGAAAAGATGTGGGGGAAAATGCACTGGAACCTCAGCAGGAGGTTTTGGAGGAGCCAGAAGAGGGGCTGCCATTTAGTGCCTTCCAGGTAGATGTGCACCAGGGTCTCCCTCACTGCAGAAGGGACACATGTCAGGGCTGTCAGTGAACTTTGCCAACCAGGCACCCAGACTGACAGCCATGGAGAATGAAATCCTCTTTTTAGCTACAAAACAGAGAATTTAAATCTCCAGGGTATAGCCCTGGCAGCAATAGTGCAAATTTCCCCATAGTTCCCAACCAGTAAGCCTCAAACCTCACCTGAAGGCCTCCCTTCCCTGAATGAAAAGGTAGCTTAATCTCCCATACTATTCACTCTTGTTCTTCTTCGCTGATACTGCCAGGAAGGTTCCAGTTAGTATTGGTGGTTGTGGGTGATTTTTGTGATGGGCCAACTGTCTGCGGAGAAGTGGACTGAGATCAACCAGAATTGGTATTGTGGCTTTGTCTCTCCAGAACCCAAGCTGTACACTCTGCAGTGGACTCCAACAGTTGTTCATTATTTAATGCTAGAGAATACCAGAGAAGCATCTTGGGGGTTTTCAGGGGTCTCATTTTTTTGTAACAGGTAAATGCTCAGCTTGGTATTTAATTTAAAAAAAAAAAAAAGGGTATATGCAATATTGAGTAGCTTGTACAGATTTCCATTTGCTCTTTAAACTCTGTTTCATCGCTGGAAAAAAACAATGCTTTTTGTGCTGTAAAATGCCCAGAAATGCTCGTCAAGTTTGTGGTGCCCTTTGTACAGTGAAAAATACTATAGAATGAGAGCTCAGCTCTCATAAAGGAAAAATGACCAATTTTAACTTTTTCCTTCCATCTGTCATTCCATGTAGGCTGGAACTCAGCTCAGCCTTGCAGATTTATCACTTTCTAATGAGACCTATACTCTGTGGTATAATCTGCTGCCCTGCAAGCAAATTCCAGGCAAAAAGAACAAGGAACAAAATGAGGAATCGGTGTTTCTGCCTTACAAGCAATTGTCAGGCTCGTATGACTTGGTGAGCAGTGTGCATTGGCTACGCCAGTAAAAGCAAGAAAAAAGGCATTGACCCCTACTCCCTCACCCCACTGAGGCAGTTGCACTAATGTTACATGCACCAAACTGCAGTTCTTATTCATTGACTTTACTAGGGGCTCGGGTCCCAATCCTGCAAGCACTCATGTGCATGCTTAACTTGACTAGTCCCACATGGGTTTGTAAATATTAAGCATGTGCATAGACCCTCATTCTACAAACACTTAACTATGGGTTGTAGGATTGGGTCCTATGTTTCAATCTCTCCTTCCCCTGACCTACCTTACATTGTTTTAAAATAAGAGTCTCCCTAGCTTCCCTGTTAGTTAATTTGGTTTCTTATTTTCATGTGTATATTTTGGAAACAGCTTTGTTTTTTGTTCTTTGCACTCACATGTTAAAATATTTTCATTGCATTTAAAAATACTTTTTATGCAAATTGTACCTTAATCATTTCAGCTAAAACAAACTTTTCTGCTTTGTGCTTCCATCACAAGAACAGCATGAGACATATGTGATTTTAAGAAATAATCTTTTCTTCCTATTTAGGTGATACTATAATCACCCCTCATTAGAGAAGAAATATACTTCATGGTATCTCCCTTTGAATGTTTTCACACAACTAATTAGTATGTAGCATGTCTGGAATTCTGATTCCTGGCATAAACTTCCATATTTTGCCTTCTTATCACTTAATCACATTTTCCTGGTGTAAGGGAATGCCAGGGAAACACAACTCTTGTAAGCATTGTCATTTCTTGCCTAATATACTGTGCCTAGTTTCATTCTATTTATTTACGCCATCAGGATGCTGTTTCGGCTCTGTTGGAGAGGACATCTGCTGAGTTGGAAGCGGTAGAGCAAGAGCTGGCGGAGGAGGAGGAGGAGGAAGAGGGGCAGGAGCACAGGGGTGCTGATGAAGACTGGTAAAGTTGTTCTTTCCATTGACCCTCACTGTAGGCTTAGGAAAAGTGCTTTACCTGCCAGGGGAAAAAAATTAGTTCTTCTGCAGGGACAATCCATTATCTTCACTTAAGTTTACCAAATATACTGAATGTTCTAATGTCCCACCCCACCCCGCCCTTCTGTGTAATCCACTCAGTTCTTCCTGACTCACTGACAGTTTCCCAAAATGCCACATCACAAATGCTACTTGTCCCATCTTATTGCAATCCATACAACCCATTAACTTTAATGAGAGATGAATAGGATTTAGGGTGAGAGGGCTGCTGCGTGTCATAGACAGGATATGTGCTGTTTGTTTGCTGTTTGTTCTTGTTCTGGAGGGGCTGTGAACTTTCTTCATGAGTGGGACGGGTTCAGTTGCTAAATTACTGTATCTTGTTGTGTATGTTAAGGAACAGTATTTCCCAGTACTCCTTTTCTGTAGTTATCATACAGAAATGTGTGATCACGTGCAGGAAGCTTTAATAAGGCTTTTTCATAGCATTAAATTTCTCATGTACGTTCTCACCAGAGCAGCATGGTGCTATCAAATTTAGTGTGCTTTGTTAAAATGTTCTCAAAGGTGAATTATAACAGAGCTTTCTGTTTTTTCTTGGAGCATATAATTAAAAATGCATTCACATGAGTAATTTGGAAGCATTTGGTGAGACTATAATCATCCTGTTCTTATCAAGATAACATGTTGATAACAATACACCTCTTGTACAAGGTGCAGGATTTAGGCATTCCAGTACTTTTCTTTTGTGGGTCTTGTCAGTTCAAGGGTAACTTGGGTTACTTTTGTTCTTGCAGGTTAGAAATGCTAGAAGAGGCATCTGATGAAATTGTGGATGAAGAGGAGGATGGAGTTGAATTGGCAGAGGAAGGAGGATATACAGATAACTTGAGATTATGCACCGATACAGCAGGGACAGACGAAAAGAAGGGTGGGGAAGAAAGTGACCATGCGGATGCCCCTGGCAATCAGTTAGCTGCTGTAGTGCCAACTCTGGTGAGTATTTTAGATTGTGCTTCCCTAAAGCATATGGCATGTTTGAAGACACCACTTAGTCTTATGAAATATTTATTTGCTTCTTCCCCTAGGAGTATGCCATAATATTATATCGGGTCTGAAAGCTTAAAGATTATCATGACATTTTATTATAGCAATTGTTTGTACAGTAAGTTTGAGAAAAATCAGATTGGTCATTTTTGAGTTAGGCAAGCGTGAACTTCTAACATTCATTCTAGTTGAAAATTTTGCATGCTTTTAACTAAAAAACTACCACCTTAAAACTCCAGTCTGTACTTGGTCTCTGAGTAAGGAAAAAATTCAAGCTGAAAGAAAATCCGTTTAGTAGCTTGAAGGTTATGAATGTGTAAGTTATTTTTTGCTTATGTATGTCATGATTTCATTTTTAGTTTTTTCTTATTTCTCTTAAGATTGTGTTTCAAAAAAAATTAAGATCTTTGAAATTAGCGCAGGGAATTTAGACATAAATCTTCCATCTGAACTTGGAAAAGTTCAATGCCTGGTCTAGTGACTCATTGGGGATTGTAATTAGCTCTCAGTTAGTGCAGGGAGTGGCCAAATGGACTGAGGGTCTTTTGGGGACCAGGCTGGCAGGCACAGATGATAGTCCTGATTCAGCAAGCTGCTTAAGCACATGCCCAGGACAACTCACCTGCTTAAAGTTAGACACATGCTTAAGTAGTTTTCTGAATCATGGCCGAAAGCTGCGATCTAGGCCTTGTTAAGAAGACCTGCATTCAGCAGTGAGTCAGAGGCCTAGCAGCAGGTGGCAGTGCAATGTCTGATTGCAATACTGATTGAAATGTGATCTACTAGTGCCAGATCCTCCTACAGTTGCTGTGCTGCTGCTTAAAACATTCTCTGATCTGTATGGACAACTAGATACGTGAAAACTTCAACGAACAATCAACTTGGCTGTAGAAAAAGGAGAAAAGATACCTAAATGCTTACTTCAGTGGGCACAGTAAATAAAGTAGGACCCAATTAATATTGTATGAATTAGTTGAGTGGGAAGCCCCAGTTCAGATTAGTGAGGTTGGCAGATTAGCAGTTGCCATGGGGTGGAAGAACAAGGAAGAACAAGGAAGAACAGCAGCAGTCAGTGATGGAGCCCTGTTTCAAGGTGTTTGCTGCAGGGAGGGAGTCGAGGGGCAATACGAAATGCCCAGTTAATCCTTTAGGCATGTGGCATCACTTCTCAGCCCTGCCCCCAGCACAGCATCAGAGCCTCGCTGTGTAACCGTAAACTGCAAACCCAACTGTTTGTTCTGAGTACAGACTTTCCGGATTGTGGTTTACAGATTAGTGAGGCCCCTGCTGTAGAAGTTTCAGATGGAAGTGGCAATCGTATTGGGCACAGGGAACACTTGGCAAGGTTTTTCTTACACTTTGTAACTGATTTTTTTTTAATTGAATACTGCTGCACTTAGTTATGGGTAAGATTCTTTGCTTTCTGTGTTGGGTTTCAACTTAAATGGTCTTGGGAGGGTAATAAACAGTGCTTGCAAGGTATACCGCTGGCAGGGGAGTGTATGTGTCTATGTATTTTTTATTTTAAATTCCTCTTGACAGGTTGATAAAGAGACTAATACTGAGGAAGCCGTTAATGAGAATATGGCAGTCCGGCCCAAGGACAGAGCCAGCTTGAGCTCCAGACAGCGTCCCTTTGTCAGGAACAGCATGATCGTGCGGTCGCAAACCTTCTCTCCAGGAGAGCGGAACCAGTACATCTGTAGGGTAAGAGGAAAAGCACTCTCAATAAGATGCTATTAACGAAATAGTCATTTAATTCCTTGGCAATGGCACATTATTGGCAATGAGTCGTGTACTGGGAAAACCCACTTTTCACCTGCAAGAGTCTAAATTGTGCTTTTCTTGGATTTTCAAAAGAACATATTGATGCACAGTGGAACAGGTTTACAGTGAAGTCCTATATTGTCACAAAACACTTTTACTATGGATGAAAAGCAACCCTTTGCAAAGGGCTTGTATGTATGAAGTGTCTTGTGTTGGACCTCTGCAAAGGGGTGGGTTTCACTGTATAAACAGAATAGTAATTCACACATAGCAATGCACTGAAATAATCTGGCATCTTTGATCTGTTGAAAATGTGTTAGAAAAAAGCTCACAATAAGCAAACACTGCATTAGCATTTTTTAATAACGTACAGTGTGAGGGCAACATAGCCTGGAAAAAGCTGTTTGAAGCTTAACCAAACTATCCAATTTGAAATCATGGTAGCATCTACATGATGCAGTTCTGAAACCCTGCTGCAGCTGTGTCCCTGAGCTCTGCCTTGGGCGTTAGTCTCAGATTTGGTTCTGACAATACAGTTTTAGTCTCCCTTTGAACAGTGATAACATGGAGACTGTCTTAGTTTATCAGCAATAGGTATAAGTGTTTGGTATTTAAACAATAAAAACATTTGTTTTAAGATCTAAGAAGTGACCACAAGCTGAGTTACACAAATTTTAATTTAAAAACAAACTGAATGCTTTTTTAAAAAAAAATTGGATATTTGCTTTGACCCCAGTATGGCTTCAGTGGCAAGTATGTAATTTTTTTTCTCAGCATTTTAATTCCTTACCAATCCCACTGCTCAACTGGTCAGAAGTTTCCATTTTAAATATGAAATTTTCAAAGTTGGTCCCAACTTTGTGGTGATTTATCTGATTAAAAAATGAAAATAATTGGTATCAAAACACTTAGCAGTAAGCCATATTTATCCTGTCACAAGGTGAATCTCCTCTGAAATGACCTTTCACTTCCTCTTGCACTCACTAAGCATATTAGGTACTGATAGAATACTATTCTACAAGCTTTCCAAAGTTTGGCTGAATCCAGGGCCCACTGTGTGGTGTTTAACCCCTATGCATTGAGACCTCGTTTACACTGGTGAACCTTGCAGCCCTAATGCTGTTACTTGTGCAGCTCCTCCAGAGGAAATAATGGTGGATGGTGTGATGTAGAGAGGGCCCTGATGGTTTTTAGCTACTGTTGTGTAAACTTGGGCATGGCAGTATAAACACCTTAACTTCCACCCATCCTACCAGCAGTGGAGCTGAACTGGTGGTAAATTATGGCTATGAAGTTTGCTGGTATAGATGTAACTAGAGTATGAAACCAAGGTACCATACTCAGATTGTGACTGTGGCAGGGCCAGGATGCAGAGATTATGACTTGCCAGAAGGTCATATAGGAAGCCACTATTGGAGCTGGTGACAGAATCCAGACCTTCTGGGTCCCATTCCATTCCCTGAACCACAAGACCATCCTTCCTCCCCCACTGTGCAGCACGTCCTGGGCAGAAAACATTTGATGGATATGCACTTCAAGGCCAGAAGGGACCATTGTGATCATCTAGTCTGACCTCCTGAATATTGCAGGTCACAGAACTTGACCCACCACTCCTGTAATAGACCACTGACCTCTTTCAGAGTTTCTGAAGTCCTCAAATTGTGGTTTAAAGACTTCAAGTTACAGACCATTCACTCCAGCTAGCTACCTGCTGATGTCTGCTCCCTTATAGTGAAGCACCTCTTCTCACATGATGATTTGAAAGTGACTCTCATGAAGTATATATAGTCAGAGATTGTAGGGGGAGATTCTCAAAGACACAAAGGACAAGTAGGGACTCAAATCCCATTTGTTCCTTTGAAAAGTGTTTAACAAAAATTTAGATGCTAATGTCTGATCATTAGCACTGATGAGTTAGCAGCTGAATTTGTATAGGAGAAGACTGATTTCTCTCTAGGGATATATACCCATGTCACAAGGTTCTTCTTTTTCACATAAATGCTGCATTAGAAAATCTGTAGGGCTCTGACTTTGTCAGTCATTGAAATTTCAGCAGCAAAATTCCTGTAGTCCATGTTAATTTTTTCAGCTGTTCAGAAAAGAGTACTAATAATCTTTCCGATAACTGTATAAGACTTTAAACCAGCTTTCTTTTAATTCAGCTACTATATACATTGATATACTTAATAGATATTCAGTTTGAGAACAATCTGTCATCTCATGTACTTTTATAATATAACTAAGGCTATGTCTACAGGGCACTTTCGTCGGTAAACTTTTGTCTGTCAGACGTGTGAAAAAACACACACCCCTGACTGACAAAAGATTGACTGACGAAAAGCTCCGGTGCGGACAACACTTTGTCGTGGGGAGACGGTCTCCCGCTGACAAAGCTACTGCCGCTCGTTGCGTGGTGTTATTTCCCCAGCAGGAGAGCTCTCGCCTGCTGGCATACAGTAGCTACACGGTGGACCTTACAGTGGCAGAACTGTAGAGGCGCAGCTGTGCCGCGTGTAAGGTACTCAGTGTAGACAAAGCCTAAGAAAAGAGCCACTGTTGTTGTTTTGTCTGTGGTACTGATTTCTGAGAAGCAGTAATGTTCTTGTAGGAGGATCTGCACATACATACATTCAATCCAGATAAGACTGAGATTGAGGTTGCTGCTTGTTGGCCAGGTGAATGTGTAGAGTAATTTGCTTTTCCCTTTGCAGCTCTGTTGATAAGGGTCTACTCCAGGCAGATGAATAGTATTCACAACCTTGGAAGTAAGAGGACTGTAAAACAACCAATGCTTTGGCAGTATGCCCTGTGCTAAGCTAATTAAACTTCTTAAACAATCCACAATGCATTTTCAGTAAAATATTGTAATTTTTTACTGAAATATTAAAATCCTATTTTAATTTAACCATAATTGATGACTAATGCAACAGTCAATTTCAAGCCATGAGTATCTTCCATCACCTGTGGGTCGTCATTATGCTGTGACGGTAGCATGCTCTAGGAGGAAGAGAATGTGATTGACTAAGCCAGAGTTGGGCATAACTCCCCCAGGGGGGCATATAAGATTGATACATTAAGGCGAGTGGGCCTTTAACAGTACATGAGGTAACAGGGGATTCCCTTCCCTCAAAGTGGGGCTTGACTTTCAAAAGTTTGGGAAATGGGGTCTCAGCTAAGAAGTTAGGTTGCCGACCTACTGGCTGAATCATCGTTTTGCTTTCAAGTAAAAATTGCTGAAATGTCTTGATATGTGTGTGGGGATGCTTATATTCATGTTATAGAACCACTGATATTGTCTGGATTGGCAATGTAAATTGAAGAACAAAAATAGCGTCAAATTACCTACTGTTATCCTTCACCACCCCTTAAATAGCCTAGGTTTCAGTATGTGGCTTCAGATTGCTTTCATGAAGTAAATGCCTCTGCGCTCTTTAAGATGCTAACTCTGGACATTTATTTTATCTGACTGAGAGGTTTTATTGAACTGCAAGAATGACCCACCAGCACATCAACATCCTTGAGTTTTTCCTAAATGTTTCTAACTTAAAACCAGAACAAGCCTTGTATTAAAATATACTGCTGTTTTATATCAGAGTGTTTATATCCATATTTTGACAGCTGAGTCGAAGTGACAGTGACAGCTCAACACTGGCCAAAAAGTCTCTCTTTGTGAGAAATGCCACAGAACGACGGAGCCTGAGAGTTAAAAGGGTACGTGCCGTCTCACATGAACAGTGATCCACATATTTGCTATTTCATTTTATACCATCAGCTTGATTCTAGGCATCTTGAGTCTATAGAGTGATCTCTTTGAAACACCCAGACTCCCTGGGATCCCAGATCCAAATCTTTACACAAGTGTGACTTGTCCCATCATCTTCCCAAAGCAGATAAACAGAGTTCCATTAATTGTGTCTAGGTCCTTTGAATGAGACCTTTAACAACAAAATTCTCTCCCCTATGGATGGATAGTAATGATCCCATGGCATTTCTTGTGAGAGTAGAGGTTTGCCCTGGTAGCCTGGGGCAGAATTGCACCTTCCTCACTATTAGGATGTGTGTTAGATAGTTGCCACCCTCACATTTAGAGTTAGTTATTTCAGAGATATGCTGTACAGTATATAAAAGTCATCGGGATCCTTCAATAATGCAACACACTATTTAAATAAAAAATAGTATGCATGTTTATATACTGTATACATAAAGAACATTCATCCTAAACATAGTTTTGGTGGAAGGGTTGAGAAAATCCCATACTTTCAAGGGTTCAGCCATACTTAAGTTTTTTTCAAATGAATTTCCTCCAAGAACATTTGTGAATAATGAAGGGATTTGAAGGAGAAAAGGATATTGTGACAATATATAAAATGAAATATACACTCTCACCTAGGGGGCTGTGTCCATTTTTGATTACTAGGCTTCAGAGATGCAACAAGCATTGAAAGGGTCTAAGGAAGGCTGACTGTACTTAGGATGGCAGAGTTGATGTGGGAGAAGAGATTGCAAAGTCTGGGGGGCTCTACTCGGACCATCTTGTGAGAAAACTCAATTAAATTAAAGGAAGTAAATTTGAAGCACTGAAAGGGAAATACTTTTTTACAGACTATGGTCAATCTCTGGCATTCACTGAGGTCCCAAATCAGCAAGGTACTTCAGAAAATTAATAGTCATGCTGAAATCAATGGGACTACTTGCGCTTAAAGTTAGACATGTATTTGAGTGCCTTGCTGGATTAAGGCCTGCTAGAGGAGGTCATTGAATCAAATGCTACGTCTGGAAAATTAGAAGTCCTGGATAATTTTATGACCATTAATGACACATGCAGAGCTAGGAAAGCTAAAGACTATTAAATCTCATACTTCATAATTGTGTTGCTGTGAGGGTCAGAAAGCAGTTTCTCTAAGGCTTTTGATCTACACATAAATTATGTCAGCATAGCTACATCAGTCAAGGGAGTGAAAAAACCACACCCCAACCGACATAGTTATGCCAACAAAACCCCCACTGTAGATGCAGTTGTCTTCACAGGAGAGGGCTTCTGGCAACATAGCTAACATCATTCAGGGAGGTAGCATTCTGATGGACAGAAAAACTCCTGGAAGTGAAGGCTTCATATACATGAGGGGTCTATGCAGGCATAGCCATATGGCATCTGTAATGTATGAACTACAGGAGTTTTACAGCATCTTGTGAAGCTTTAGGCACTGACTGCTGCCAGAAGCAGAGTTCCAGAGTAGATGGCCTATGGACTTTGACCTGATCTGGTATGGCAACTTACGCTCAGAAAAAATAAATGTGAAAATTCCATACTCAACTGGCAACTCACCTCACCTTTGTATATTAAATGTACTCTTACTTTTTATTACATTATCATTCCTGAACAATTCAGGCTGCATGCCAGTCGATCATGCGAAGAGCTACGCAAGAGCACCCTGTACGCACTTCTCTTGACTTGGAGCTGGACCTCCAGGCATCTCGGACCCGACAGAGTCGGCTGAACGATGAACTTCAGGCACTGCGCAATCTTAAACAGAAGCTTGAGGAGATGAAAGCCAGAGCAGAGACTGACCTTCCCCAGTGTGTGTTGGAGGATGAGCAATTCCAAAAGCTCTTGAAACAAGCTGAAAAGCAGGTATAAAGAGTGAACAAAACTCCCCATCATTGTGTGATAAGCACTCATTTATTTCCAGGGAGGGCTGTGCTTAAAAACTTAATAGTTATAGTCTGGTTGTGAAGGAAGCACAAATGAAAAAATGTCCTGTAATGTGCCTATAGATGGAATGGGTCCATAGCAGTGTTAAACAAAGAAAATTAAAAATCCCTTACTATAGGTTCTTGGGTAGATTTGGTTTAGATGTTTTTAGAAGATATTTATAGGAGTATCAAGCTTAGCTAATTACAAAGTTGAATTATGTAGCATGAGTAAAAGATCATGGGAAATCTAAAGAAAAAATCTATTAAAGAATTAATCCAGACTCAATTATTTATTTAAACCTAGAATTCGCTAAACACCAAAAGTAATGTTGTTCTAGAGTTGCACATCAGATTGAGTAGCCAATTAATTTGGAGGTAGAACGCTCTTTTTCATTTGGAGGCGGAGTTTGTGTTCTGAAACAATATAGAAATCCATTTAAAGGTTTAATAATCTTAAATCCCAGTCCTACTCCCATTGAAGTCAATGTTTTTGTTTTGTTGGAGGGAGGGGAGGCGGTTCTATTCAGTGGTAGCTGTCTAGAAACCTCAACGAAGAGGGCCCAGAGAGGCAGAGGCCATGATTTGAGACTATAGGCTGTAATAATACCTGCGGCAAGGCTGTGCAACAGCCTCACAGGACCCCCACTCCCACCCCATCTTAGTTTGTCCTTCAGAACACCCTTCTTCTGACTTTGGCCAGGGAGAGCTGAGTTTCACCCACCAAGAGGTAGGTGCATTTCAGAAAAGATTAAAATATAAGTAAGAAACTGTATGTAAAATAGTCTACTGATTAGAGCAATGTAGGGGCTCACATTGCCTGGATCAATTACTGGGTCTACCACAGACTCTCTGTATGCAAAGCACATATCCTCTCTGTCCATCAGTTCCTTGTTTTCCAAAATGGTTCTGTAATACTAGCACACAGTAGTGTGGAGAGCTTGTGTTGGGAAAAGTTTTTGGAGATTCTTGGGTAAAATGTGCTGACAGTGCAAAGTTTGTTGTTTTTATCCACTTGGGTTCTTTGTGTATGTTTAAGCTCCCTCTGGTTGTTTTGTACTTGAAAAGTTTGATTATTTAAGAAAAAGCTAAATTTGTTAAGCAATTAAGTATTATACCTTATTTCTACCTCCACACTTTAGACAAATATGAAGCGATTACCTTATTAAAAACTAAGGGATTACTCCAGTCCATAGTTATCCCCATTACTATGTACATGCTTCTGAATTAGTTAGTACTGTAAAGGTTCCTGTCATGGGGCACAGACTCACCGGCGGTGCCTCCTGCTGGTCATTTCAGGTAATTAGCGTTCCAGCTTCTGGAGTGCCCTCTTCAGTCCGGTGTCTCACCTTGCTGCTGGCTCCCATGTCCCTCCCAGGACCCCGGTGCCCATTTCACTGGGTGCTGCCCCCTGGCAGTACCCCACAGTTCTGGGTCTCCCGCTCCCAGGGGAACCCCCCACCCACTATCCCTACCTTGCCTCAGTTGTAGGCTCCTGCCAGTCACCAGCTAGCCCCCACACCCTGGGGCAGACTGCAGTATGAGCCACTCATCACAAGCAAGGTTGGGTTTGGGCCTGCTGCCTCTGTCTAACCTTGGGCTGTCCCCTGCAACCCCAGTACCTGTTGGGCCTAATGCTAGGCCGCAGCCTGGGGCTTTCCTGGCTGGAGCGCCCCAGCTCCTCAGGCCCTTCCCCAGCCCTGCTCCAATCTAGGTACTCTGCTTAGGTCCCTACAGCGAGGTCCCTCCTTTTCAGAAGCTAGAGAGAGAGTGCTCTTCTGCTCCTGGCTTCCCTGGCTTTTATAAGGCCCACTGGGTCTGTTTGGGGCGTGGCCCCAGCTGCGGCTGCTCTGCCAATCAACCCAGCTCTTCCCCTGCCCCAGCCCTCTCCCAGGGCTATCTTAAACCTCTCTGGGCCTGAGCAGGTGTCCACCCCGCTACAGTCCCTTAATACTTATTTTATATTTACTATCTAAATTTAGCCAGTCCCTCAAGGAAGTACCAAAATATTCAATATTTACATCTCTAGTGTCAGGGGACCAGTGGCTGAAGTTCTCATCCCCCCCAGTGCAAAGCCTAGGCTTTTTTGGAGAATTAAGGAGAATGCCATCCACCCCCAAGTTGCATTCAGGTTGTAATGCTACAGTACAGTCCCCTCTAATGCCTCCTGTTCCAGGCTATGAATCAGTCTCTCGGCACCTTCTACAGCTGTCTACACTCAGAGCTGGTAGGATACCCTCCCACGGTTGGGTTGGGTGGTTGTGGTTGGTTGTTTTAGTACTGATGCAGTCCCCAACAGTGCTAGCAATGTTGAGAATGCTATTGTAGACTGGCTGCTGGTGCCACTTTACCACTGTGTTGGCGAAACAGGCTAGTCTACTCAACATGGTCGTATTTCTTTACAAAGCCTGTGAGTCCCATCATAGTTAGGACCAATACGGCTACAACAAGTGTAGGAGAATTTTAGATAATCTTCTGTGGAAAACAAAACCTGAAGGCGTGGGGGATTTCCCAGTCACCAGTGTAAACAAAAATTCAGTGGTCCCTTTGTGGCCTGCTACAACAGTCCCACCACAGCAACCTATTTGGAGCCAATGTGGAGACCTCCCCTGTGCATACAGGGCATATAGCCCCCACTCCAACAGGGCTAGTGTGAGCATCCATAGTGCAGAGAACCTTGTATAATTCCTCTGCAATAGGATGTGTTTCTTCTGGTTTGAATAGGGTTAAGGAGACGGAAGAGATTTAAAAAAAAAAAAATAGAAACATTATCCAGCATTTCAAAACAAGTTTTAGGCGTCTTAATATTTTAATAATAAATCAAATGAGTTCCCCAAAACAACTATCATCACATGCTCAGTATTTACATATCTAGAGTATAGTCCTCTAAAGTTCTGATCCACTCTACAGTTCTGGGAAAGATTTCCGTATTTCATTTAAAAAAAAAAAAGAAAAAAAAAAAGCCCATTCTGTTTCCCTGTTTGGTAAATTAACCTCTTCATATGGAAATAATCTGTAATTATGAGGTTAATGCCACATAGACAAGTCTTTGGTTTTAGCACCCTTTTTATATTTTATGCTTGGAGAATTTATTTTTTAAAGTACAATTGCAGAAATAAAGAAATATACCTTACCAACTGTATATTACAACAAAACTGTCACCCCAGATGTTTCTTTTTAGGCAGTATAAAAACTGATATATATGTTAGGCATGAATTAAAACCTCAGATCTTAAACATCCCCAGACTGAGTTAGTTCAGATTTATGTTTTGGGTGTCTCTCATTTTTAAGAAGTCTTTAACTGGTATCCTGTGCGCTTTCATACTGTAATTCAATGTAGGAAATTAGAACAGGTGTTCAGAAATGAATTGTTGCATTGGATCAATATGAAACTTACTCACCCCAGGTATTTATCTGCTCAGAGCTTGCCAAACTGTGCTCTGTAGAGCACTTTTTAATGGTGTGCAGAGAGTTGGGTGATACTGTTCACCTGGTTTTCAGCTGAGAAAATTGAAGCAAGTGGGAAGGAGAAGTGGAAAGAACAGCAAAAGTTAGATATTTTTATCTTTTTTTCCAAAAGATCTTAACACTTGTATTAAAGACAGCTATTGATGTAAAAATATTTTCCTTATATTATTTTTCTGTGTAAGCAAATGCTGTACTTGCCACAGGGATGTTGCCTGATGATTGTAAGGATGTTTTTAGGACCACCAGACAGGCCCACAGGTTACCTTATGAACCTAGCAAAGCAGACAATCACTGCTTGCTGTAACAGACAAAACCACTGCTAACTCCAGTGTTGAGATCCAAGGAACAGGTTTATTTCAGCATAGGTACAAAGTGCCACACCCCAGGGATCAATTGAGGGTGACGGGCCAATGAACAGGCTGTACACACACTAGGCAAAGACTTAATGTCTCAGTACAGTCTTTTATACCCAAGATGATTCTGTACCTTTATCAATACCCCTCTCCTCTGATTCATTGCATAATAATAATAAAGTTTTCTGAACAAATATAACATTCTGCATTGTGCCCTAAATTGTATAACTTGTTTACTTGTAAAAAGAACAGGAGTACTTGTGGCACCTTAGAGACTAACAAATGTATCTGTCAATTCAGTGTCTTTCTGGGTAGACCCAGGGTGTCTGGCTTCAGTTTGGTTTCTCTAGCCCTGTGAGAGTTTGGCAAAGAGCATTGACAGATAAATTTGTTAGTCTCTAAGGTGCCACAAGTACTCCTGTTCTTTTTGCAGATACAAACTAACACGGCTGCTACTCTGAAACCTTGTTTACTTGTATAACTTGTGTATTTGTCTGGGACTTTGGGGACTTTCTTTATTTCTGATTATATTTGGCTGGGTCATTGTAACTTCATCCTTGTTGTGTACCCAAATATCAGGGACATTTCAAGAGTTGAATAAGAAAATACACAGTAAGCTATATCTGAATTAGCCAAATGGCTTTGTTTTGCACTCCTTCCCAAAAAGGGTTATTTACTGGTAACCCTACAAACTAGCCAACTCATTGTATTGATTATATTGGTTATGCACTTGTTTATATATCACTAGCCAATGTGTGGCACGCGCATGTGTGTGTGTTTGTGTGTGTGTGTATGTATGTATGTATGTATATGATTAAGTACACTTAAGCCCTTGCCACTTTACATGAGGTAAATTCACCTAATCACTGTCTCAACTCCTTACACTGATGAAGGGATGATCTCCACATTTATGAATGGGAAGGGGAGGTGGTCCATTCCGTTGGTAATGGGAGAAGAGAAAACATCTATCATCAAGTGGGTCTGTTCTGTAAAATGTTTGAGAACTCATACGCTTAGACGGGGAGAGCTTTCCTGTGCTCAGTTGTCCTGAGGCTCACTCACCTCTTCATCTACAGTGTGCGATGTGGTAGCCTGGTGATGCTGCACTGAGCTTTAATAA